TACTTTTACATGAAAGAACTTTTATGGAATCATTTTTATAAAAGTAAATTTATGAAAAATACTTTTACAAAAGTAAAGTACTTTTACGAAAGCACTTTTACATTAAATCACTTTTACGAAAGTACCTTTATGAAAGCATTTTTATGAAAGTACTTTTATAAAGGGAAGTACTTTTATGAACGCACTTTTACAAAACATCTATGCCAACAGTTTTGGAGACCTAGGCTGGCAGTTTATGAATACCAACATAGTTTTATTTATTTATTTTTTTTTTAAGAATGAAAACAAGCAACATAGGACACTTGTCAGTCTAAAAAGAATTCATTTTTAGGAAAAAAGTGTTTACTTCATAACAATATTTTCTCATTCTACCTATTTTGACCTATTCTTGTCCATTTTACAATTTCATTTTAGGTAAGAATGAAAAAGAATGAAAATTGAACCAGTATTTAATTTTTTTTCCATTATTAAACTAGTTGTTGTATAAACTGCTTGCTCCAGCTACCACAGCTAACTTTGTGTATCCCCACCACCATCCTTTTGTAAGGATATCATGGCACTGAACATTTTGTATTCACATTATTCACAAATTTTTAACATTATGAAACCGTTCTGCAGGTGGAGAAGTGCCCTTCTGTGGAAATCATTCTTCACAACTGCAGTGGTTGCCATTGTGCTTCAGGGTCTGGTTGACATTTGCAACAGCGGAAAGTGTGGCTTATTTGGAAAAGAAGGGCTGATAATGTTTGATGTGACATCAGCAAGTGCTACATATTACCTTGCTGACGTACCACCTGTCCTTGTTCTTGGAGTTATTGGGGGTATATTGGGAAGTTTCTATAATTTTCTTTTGGAGAGGGTTCTCCGAATCTATAGTTTCATCTACGAGTAAGCAATATCTTCTTCTTCAAACAATTGATTTTTTAGATACAGCATGGAATATTTAACTCATTCTCCTTGTTACTTTCCCATCATTTTCAGGAAAGGCTATGCTTACAGGATACTTCTTGCTTGCTCAATCTCCCTATTTACTTCATGTTGTTTATTTGGCTTACCATGGCTTGCAACTTGCCGACCTTGCCCAACTAATGCAGGCGAAGCTTGCCCAACGATAGGGAGGTCTGGTAACTATAAGAAGTTCCAATGTCCTCCTGGTCACTACAACGATCTTGCCAGCCTTTTCTTCAACACAAATGAAGATGCAATCAGAAATCTCTTCAGCAAGGGCACTGATACTGAGTTCCACTACATATCAATACTTGTCTTCTTTGTCACTTGCTATTTTCTTGGTATATTCAGTTATGGGCTTGCAGCTCCATCAGGTCTCTTTGTGCCTGTTATTTTGACAGGGGCAAGCTATGGACGCTTTGTTGGTTTGCTTATGGGTTCTCACTCGAATCTCGACCATGGTCTCTTCGCTGTGTTAGGAGCTGCTTCCCTTCTGGGTGGATCTATGAGGATGACTGTGTCATTGTGTGTTATTCTCTTGGAGCTGACCAACAATCTGTTGTTATTACCCATGATAATGATGGTCCTTCTTGTATCCAAGACTGTCGCAGATACCTTTAACCAAAATATATATGACATTATTATGAAATTGAAGGGTCTTCCTTATCTAGAAGCTCATGCAGAGCCATACATGAGACAATTGACAGTTGGTGATGTTGTCACAGGGCCACTTCAATGCTTTAATGGCATAGAAAAGGTAAGGAATATAGTGAATGTACTCAAAGCTACAGGACATCATGGATTCCCAGTGATTGACCAGCCACCTGTTTCAGACTCCCCGGTGTTGTCCGGTCTAGTCCTTCGAGCCCACCTTATTGTGCTCCTAAAGAAAAAAGCATTCTTATCCACTCCAATGCTCACAAGCAGTGATTTCATGAAGCAGTTTTCTGCTAATGATTTTGCTAAGCGGGGTTCAGGAAATAATGAAGATATATACAACATAGAAGTGACTGAGGAAGAAATGGATATGTTCATAGATTTGCATCCCTTTACAAATGCTTCACCATACACTGTTGTGGAGACCATGTCACTAGCAAAGTCTCTTATACTTTTCCGTGGAGTTGGTTTAAGGCACCTATTAGTGGTACCCAAGACTTCTAATGTAAGACATCCCGTCTCATTTCTTTACCTCGTTCTTGCTTACTGCTATCTGAAGATAAGATATTCTAGGACTGTGTTAGGCCATTATGGTGCATGTGATGCAAACTTTAATTACTTTCCAGTCACAGTTTCTCCTTTCTCTCATAGTTTGGATTATCTATATCAGCTTGTTTTTTGTATTAACACTGGATCCACTGACTGTTTTTTGGCTGCTTCTTTATTGCAGTGGTCACCAGTAGTAGGTATATTGACAAGGCATGATTTTATGCCAGAACATATATTGGGATTATATCCTTCCTGCAAAAGAGCAGGTGGAAGAAAGTAAGGTTCCGGCCCCCCAGTTTATTTAAACTTATGAAGGCAGCTTGGCTTTGATTCAGAGATCATAACTAACGTTGTAAATGGTCTTAGTTTAGCAGCAATGGCAACCATTTTTTTTTAACATCATTGTTTTAGCTCCAATTTCTATTTTCCAAAATCCATCAAAAGGATGAGCTTGTATTATCCACATGACTGTATCAAAAGAAAAATAATATATTGGTGCTACAAAAATTGATTTATTTCATAGAAGAATCAAACCATGGTAATTTTTTGGTTCTTTGAGTCCTTGGGTGCTTGCATACAAGAGCAATGTGCACAAGCTGGAGTCCCAAACGAAGCATGTTTCCTGAATAAACTATATCATTCCTCTCTACTGGTAAGACAAACGTCACTCCCCTCTACTTTTTGGTAGAAAAAAAAAATTGAGAAATAATCAAAAGAAGTGATTTTTGCAAGTTGAAGGGGGTAAAGAGTTAGGGGTAGATCAAAGAGGACTAGGATAGTAGTAAGAAATGATTTAAGTGCCAATAATTTAATAATGGATATGACTTTAAACCGAACAGAATGGTGAAACAGGACTCATGTAATTAATCCCATATAGTTAGGTTATGGCTTGGATGATGATGAATCCAAATTGCACCTTGGAAGGCCTTCCTAAACAATACACATGAAAACAGCCAACCACCATTGAGTATTCCCCAGCACCTTTTCTTTCATAATTGATGAGAAAATTAAACTGACACTCTGTCCTTACAAGAACCTTCTCTTGCTAAAGTTTTATTTACATTGCAGCAGATCATGTCACTCAAGTCACTGACATAGCTGTCAAGGCCCTAAGGTGAAGCTAGGCAAGAACTGCTGATCACAACACATTGCTATGTTCACCCATCGGCTTGTACTTTATATCATTGATACTTACAATGTATGGTTGTTGTGGTCAGCAGATCCAGACTAGACTAAGAGGGCAATGCATTGTGCCTTCTTTCCTAAGCAACTATGGCAGTGATTATATATATATATATAGTAGAACCCCTATTCTGGTTAAGTGGTTACACATAAAAAGATGAAGATTGTAATTTTAAAGAGAAGCATTAAAAAGTTGAGAGACAATGCTTCTATTCTACAAGATAAGGCTTGTTTGTTTTTTGGATTTTGAGAGGAAAAAAGTTGGTCAACAAAAAGTTGGATTTTGGTTCTTAATCAAGATACCCATGTTCTGTTTTTAGATTTATGTGGGATCCACGGAAAATTCTTTTTCCTTGAGTATCACTTGGACAATTGATACCCATCTTCAGTGGATAAATAACTTTTCTGTCTAGGGAAAATTGCCAACACTTAGATGGGACAAAATTACCCTTTTTAATAATATTTTTTTATAACTAAAATGGTCATTGTCTTATTTACTTAGAAAATAAAAGAACATGAATAAGTAGCTTTTCGAAGAAACAGGACCATAATGTTAAAAATCTGATTTGAAAAGAATATCATGTTGAATACTACTAGTTAAAATCATGCTATGGTGAGCATCTCTTCTACTGTTATCTTAGTGATGTTTTTATAGCGAATCAATTTGTAGTTCTGTACAAATGATTAAGTATAATTGTGTTACACCAAAAATTAGCACACATACTACATAAAATAAAAATACTAGGGCAAGACATAAGGGAGCATTTGGAGTTTAAACTGATACATATTGGGTCATACTGCCAATACATATTAATGTTTTAAACCTAGTGCCCAACAAAACTTAGATCAACAATAGTTTAACTTATTACTGAAATAAATTCAATATACAAAATAACCATATGGTGCTCTTCAAGCCACCACATCATTCACTAATAGCTCAAGCCCACTGTTCTCTTTAACCAGCTTAGATTGAGACCGGATCCAGTAGGCGCATCCCTGTGAGAATACTGAGTAACAAATGTTCTGAGAGATGTCTTAGAAAATCTCATATATATATATATATATATATATTATATTGAGTGCTTACTCTGAGTTCTCACCGAGTGTGCCCACATGATCCAGACTTGTTTGGATAACTAATGAAAATTCATCAAAATTCGTGTGTATGTGTGTGGAGATTTGATTGGTCAAACTCTCAAATGTGAGAGGGGATGATCAAACACTCGATTGAAATAGATGTTTTTTTATAAACCAAAACCCTTTCCACAAGATCTACACAGACCAGATATGAGTCATATGATGAGGTACTACGTGAATGGATATATGAATATAATGGCAGTGCAAGTTGGGTACCCAATTTAAAGAATTGATATTAGCACCGTGGGACTTAAAATATTTGCAATGATCAACCAGGCTCACCCAAGTTGCACTGTTAATATAAGAAAACAAATCTCTTGAATCTCTCATGATCTTATGCATCCTTCTACATCAGTCTTATATAAGAGACCCATATGCATGGAACTGACGTGGTGAAATGTGAGTGGTCAAATATTATGGGATAAACTGCAGGCAATTTGATTAAGAGGAAGTATAGAATTGGTTCTCACACCCACCTTATAGCACTTGCTCCCGAGCCGTGCATCAGGAACATCTCCCATGAATAAAAACATTTAAGTACGGAGATATTCCCGATGTGTGGCTGCAAGGGCTGTGAGAACCAATAGGAAATCCGAACTCATTAATAGAAAGTTATAGTGATATAGAGTTTGGTTTGCTTTCCTTGGGCAAAGCAGTAGCCTCCATCAACCAAGAGATTACAGTAAAATGGCGTTTGTACATGGGCATATAATACTTGGTTTGAACTATGATACATTGTGTCAATCCCCTGGCTGAAATGTTTCAGAACAAAAGGTTTATCACGCATGTAAGGAGACCACCATACAGCAAGAAAAGGAGAGGTACAGTCAGGCTTTGTTAGGCTCTTCTAGACAAAGGTCGGGCTTTATTTGGCCCTCAACTTATTACAACTCGACTGGGCTTGGGAACAAGGTCCTAGCCAACTGACTGGCCAACGCAGCCCTTTTCTTCATCCTTTTTGTCTGACTAAGGAGATGCCCAGCTAGTCAGATGTTGAAACTGATCAAGAGTTGGATATTTTTATTAGTGTTTTATTGCTCAGGTCATCTGGGTTCACCAGGATTGGCCTGGTTTATTTATTTATTGTTTTACCAAGAGTAGCCAGAATTTATTTATGTTTTTCTTTTTACAAAAAGGTCCCCCATGTTTGAATACCACATTTAGCAGCATGCCAGCATGATATCATTAAAGAGGATAGTACAGGTTGAAGGCCTGGCATTTGCTAGGTCTATCCAAGAATCTGATGTCTCACCTGCTTTAACCATTGTAGCACATACCCTTTGACTATGTAACAATTGTCAATAGACCAATTATGTAATCAAACAATCAGGATACATGAAGCTATATATCTTGTAGATCAATTGGGGATGGAATGCCACCAGGAACTAGGTGCTGCATTTCCATAAGTGGTGAGTTAAACCATAGAACATTACCAATAACATAAAGAATGGAGTATGAGAGACCAAAGAGAACTAATCTTTGTTTGAACTGCAAACTCAAGACTGTTCTATCAACCAAACATCCTATTTCCAATTGTGTATCATGCTTTATTCACACTTCTAAGGTAGTCCATCCTAATTCCCCAGAGTTTCTTCCCAACTTCTTTCATGTCTGGCCTATCAGCCCGTGTAGGTGCAGCACACTGGAATGCCAATTCAAACATTTTCACGACTATCTCTGCACTAATCACTTCCTCCATTAAAGGATCTGCTATTGCTGCCAAATCTCCCTCAGTAAACTTTTGGAAGGCCTGCCACCACCAGAGTTGCATGGTTTTAATCACCTAATCTGGGCACATCCTTAGTGAAGCAATAAAAGATTCCCTATTTAATGACAAAGTTTAATGCATGGAATATCTGTCTTTAAAAACAAGCACTTGTTCACAAAAACAAAGGGGTTTACCTACTTATCAGAAAATGAGATGTTCCCAAATAATCAACCACTTAGGGGTTGTTCACCAATATGTATGATTTTATTTTTCAAAACAAAAACAACTGACACATCCTCAAAAACAACATGATTTTGCTGATATGCCAGTTTTTGTTTTAAAAAATAAAACCATACATATTGGTGAACATTCTTTAATTTTGGTGAAACTTCACAAATTTGATCAGGGTGAATGAAACCAAAATCATGCTATTTTTGGTCCAAGAAGTTTTAGATAAAAAATCAGAGTATTCACTTTTAGTTAGATTTTGGATATTTGAAAATTAGCCAGAATAAAACAACTGAACTAGGGTAAATATCCCCTACCAGGGGAAGAGGACATCACACACACAAAAAAAAAAGAAAGAAAGAAAACATGATCTGAAAAGTGTCCATACTTTGAACAAGTTGTGATCCTGCAATCAGGCTGTCCTCTGTAGCATGTTCCTAAGACAAACATGCTATTTATGAAATGAATTTGTAGTCCGCATAGCAGTTTTCAGCTCTTCCTTCAAGAATGACAAGTGGACAATGAATGTATACCCAGACACAGATGTGTAGCCATGGATATTGAGAGATGGGGATACAACTATCCGTTTACTAAAAGTCCAGACACAAATATGGGATTTATTCCATGTAAAATGCTTATATAATGTTTCTATATCTAGAACTTGAAGCTAATTGTCATTTCTCAAAGCTTGCCTTGCCAAATATACTTAAATTTTCAACATATATAGTTTTTTATAGTATGATTTATAAAAACAAACCAAATTTTTGACTGGAAACTTCTGTTAAAACAAACCATTTAACATATTTCAAAAGTTTTGATGCTATAGAGTATATATGCAGGTGTCCGTGCAATATATGGTTCTGGTGTCATATCAGATAAGGTGTCATGTCTAACACTGATATGCTAGGCATGTACAGGTATCTAGATATCACAGCAATTATGACAGTCTAAAGCCAGGCAAGAGAAGAGATTAAAGTGCATACCCATCTGATTGTGATCCTTTCCTTTGGAGCTCTCTTCATCTCCACTGGGCGACGGCCAGTAAGAACTTCTACAAGCAAAACCCCAAACGAGTACACATCGCTCTTGGGGGTGAGTTGGTACGTCTTCAGGTATTCAGGATCAAGGTAACCTGCAGTTCCCTTCACTTTGGTTGATATATGTGTCTGATCATCTTCATTTGGACCAACTCTTGCAAAGCCAAAATCAGTCACTTTGGCTCTGTAGCTCTCAGTAAGCAGAATGTTGGAGGATTTTACATCTCGGTGGATTATTTGCTTCTCTATTGAGAGATAAGAATGAAAAGGAAGTAGCACATTTAACCAAGAGTCAGCAGGCTCAAGTGTGACAAAAAAGAGTCACTGCTTCCTAGGTTAATAGCTTTAGTTATGCTGAGTGGAAGTAAGTTCAGTTTCACAACAAGCCAAATTTTCTACATTAAAGGTTTAACTGATGCCATATAAAGGTATTCAGTTTCTCTAGATTGAAGGATAGATTAAGCTGCAATTTGATGGAAGCTCCTCAAAGATACCTGGGTTGTCTGGTATAGATAGGATTCGTTACAGGTATGATGGGAATCTTCTATTGGTTTTTGTGGCCCAACCAATATGACCACCTCGAGCAAGGCACAAGTATTAGCCCTCCTCATTGGGGTTTGTATTGTAAAGAGGTTCAGGTCTTCTTCTATAGCTATCCAAGGGGGAATTCAGCCAATGTAATCAGATGGAGCAGCAAATCTTGGGTACAGTCCTTGAGAAGTGGCTTACTATGTCAATGAAATCAAAGACATTTTGTCATCCTTCTGTCCAACAGTGGTGAATCCCCATAGAATTAAATTTGTTCTCAGATAATCTTGCAAGATCAAAGGTGGAAAGGGTTTTCTTGTATAATGAGAGATGAAATTAATTGTCTTGGCTCTTGGGTGGACAAGCATGAGAATTGCAGAGAGACTGGGCCAAATGGGCCCTAGTATCTATTCTTTTATTTTTGTAGTGTGTTATTTATTTTTTTGTTAATGGGCCTGTCTTCGTGGGCCTGTTACTTCTTTTTATAAGCTTACTTTAAGTTCTTTCTTAGCTGGCCACCCACTTAAGGGCATACTTGTAATTAACTTAGTGAATGAAGATTAACAAAAGGATTAGAGAGGGGAGAGAGGAGATTATCGGACTCTTCTTCTTCTTCCTCCTTTTTTCTCCATCTTCTTCCTTCGTACTGCTGTCTTCTACCTTTCTTCCACTTTTCTCTCTAATTTTAATCAAGTTTATATCAGTTTTAGAGAACTGATTTACTTCTTGGTATCAGAGAAGGTTTCTCCCTTCTCTTTTTTTTCTTTTTCTCTTTTCCCATACACCTTTCGATTAGGAGAGTATATGGAGAGATAAGTTCCTATAGTTTAGAGGATCTTTTGCCCAGTTGGTAAAGGGTTTGGAGAGTTGAAGCCTGGCCGAAAACTGCCAAGAAGTGATGCTGTATTTTTTCTACCCAAAACCCTAGCCGATTAGAGAGTTCCAAAGTTACAGGTAAAGGAGAAGCTTTTGGTGTGGTGCTCAATGCTTGGGAGGTGTATTTTGACTTCTAGAAGTGTGTGTTTAAGTCTTGAAAGAGGTTGGAAAGCTCTGGTAGGAGTGGCTGCGTCTTCTCTCTTCCTCCCCGACAGTCGAGTGTAGTGAAACCCTAGCTGTCAAGTATTTGGATACTATTTTGACTTCAAGTAAGTTTATAAAGTCTAAAAATCTAGTTTTTTATTTTTGTTTGATCAATTGAGCAATACGGAAGTGAGTTCAAGCAGATGCCGATATCCGGGCTTGTCTCAGTAGATTCCATTTGACTGGTGTGACCACAATTAAGTTGGATGGAACCAATTACCAGCTTGGGCATAGTCTATACGGATTTCTGTCTGTAGTAGAGGTAAATTAGGGTATCTCACGGGTAGTAAGGTGAAACCTGAAGAGACAAACCCTGCATTTGAGAAATGGATGTAAGAGAACTATACAATAATCGGATGGTTGGTCAACTCTATGCAGCCCCATATAAGTCAGCATTATCTTTGGATGTCTTCAGCCAAGGAGATCTAGGACAGTGTTACGGAAACCTATTCACAGAAATTGAATGTGGCAAGAGCCTATAAGCTGAAAAGTGATGTGAAAAATCTGAGACAGGGGGAGAAGAGTGTGGCAATTTACTACTATTCTGAAATCTCTATGGCAGGAAATTGATGTTGTGGAGACAGTTGTATGGGAGAGTGCAAAGGATGCAAAAACTTTTAGGAAATTGGTGGAACGAAATAGGGTGTTTGAGTTTCTTACAGGACTCAACCCTGAGTTTGACATTATTAGGCAGAATATTCTGGCCAAGGATGAGGTCATTCTTTCCAAGCATATGCTATGGTAAGCAGTGAAGAGAGTAGGCGGCAGGTTCAGTTACAGAGTCCACCTACAAAACACTTTGCACATGTTAGAATAAAGCCGGAGGGTCCAACTAAAAAGAAAGAGCTGATATGTGAATACTGCAAGAAACCAAGGCATACTAAGGACATTTGCTGGAAGCTTCATCCAAATCTTCTACCAGGCAGGTTTAAGAATAACAGCAATTTTAAGAAGATTGGTCAGACAGGAAAGCCTAAGAATGCTAATGTTGCCACAGTGCTCGAAGGAGGGAATAAGGAAAGAGAAGAAAAGTCAGCCATGGAACAGTTGGCAACAATAAAGGCAAAGTTTGAAAAGTATGGAAGGCTATTGAATCACTTGGAAACCATTGTCTCTACATTCCACTCTTCAAGCAACACATCATCATCATCTGTATCTACTAACTCAGGTATTCGTGCTTCTACAAATCATGCTTATGTTTCAAGTAATCATAAAATCCCTGGGATCATTGATTTTGGTGCATCACACTATATGACCAGCTTGTCTAACCTTTTTTGTTCATATCATTTTCTCTCTAATAAAGAGAAAATATCTCTTGCTAATGGGTTTCTTGCTCCCATCTCTGGCAAGGGGGATATCAAGACCTCTAACACCCTTGTTCTATCCTCTGTTTTTCATGTCCCCAAACTTAATACCAATCTTTTATCTATTAGCAACTTAACTAAATCCATGAACTGTAGCATAACCTTCTTTCCTACCCATTGTGTTTTTCAAGACCTGAAATCTCAAAGGACGATTGGGAGTGGCCATAAGGTGAATGGAATATACTTGTTGGACACACTTGATAGGAGTCTTGGACCACCTCATGGAGTAGCCTTGGAGTCAGTTTTGTCAGAGTCTATTGATAGAGTCATGTTATGTCATTTCTAGTTTGGTCATTTGTTTTCCAACATGTTTAAGGGAGTGTCTTTATCGAGTCTTCATTGTGAGTCTTGTGAACTTTCAAAGCATTGTAGACAGTCTTATTCAGTAAGCAATAAAAGATATATTTCTCCTTTTCATATTGTGCACTTTGATGTGTGGGGGCCATATCATTTGCCTACGATGGGGGGTTACAAGTACTTTATCCTTTTTATTTATGATTATTCTCATTACACTTGGATTTATCTCATGGAATCTAGGGATGAAGTACAGACTATTGTGCAAAAATTTCATGAACTTATTCTTACCCAACTTAACACTCGGATCAAAATATTCCATTTTGATAATGCTATGGAATATTTTGAGAAGAACCCCCCATCCTACCTTGAGACTTTTGGGGTTATTCCTCAGAGTTCTTATTCCTACACTCCACAGCAAAATGGAGTGGCGGAAAGGAAGAACCACCATGTGGTTAAGGTTACTAGATCCCTCCTTTTTGCATCCCATGTTCCTACTAAAAACTGTATGCCTTCCCGGATTTTGAGTTTCAAAACCCCCTTTAGCCTTCTCTTTTCGGATGAGGATCTCTTTTCTTTTCCTCTCCGAGTTTTTGGGTGCACATGTTATGTACATCTTCATAGCCATCAAAGGCACAAATTTGAACCTAAGGCACGTAAGTGTATTTTTATAGGATATGCCTCCACACATAACGGATATTGTTGTTTTGATCCAGTTAGTGGCACCCACTTTGTCTCTCGGGATGTCAAATTTGCTAAGTCTACTCCTTTCTTTAGTACTTCTCTTGAGGGGGAGCAATCTGAGGAGTTCTTGCTATGTCACCAGCAGTTCCTCTTCTTGTTCATTTTGAGTCATATGTTGAGTTGTCCTCTCCTCCCACTGTGTCTACCTCAAGTGTTCTTGCTCCTCCTCCTCCTCCACTTCACCCTCCTATAATTCCCTCACATCTTGTTCTCCAAAGGTGATACCAAAGACATAGATTCAGGCATGGGCAAGTTGTTTCCACTCCTGCAAAAGAGCCTCTTGCTCCTCCCATCATTATTGAGGTAACAGGTCAACCTTCCTCTAAGACACCTACCTTCCCAGACCTTGACCTTCCTATTGCCCTTCAAAAAGGCAAGTGGAAGTGTACAACATTGTATCTCTAAACACCTGTCCTATAGCCTTCTATCCCCTACCTATTACTCTTTTCTTGCTTTTGTTTCTTCCCATGTGATACCGAAGTCTGTACCAAAAGCCCTATCTAAACCTGAATGGAGGGATGCTATAATGGCTGAACTGGATGCTTTGTAAAAGAACCATACCTGGGATATTGTGGATTTGCCAAAGGGGAAGGAACCAGTAGGTTGTAAATGGGTATTTACCATTAAATATCATTCTGATGGCTCTATTGAGAGGTTTAAGGCCCAATTGGTTGCTAAAAGCTAGACTCAGATGTATGGTATTGATTACCTTGAGACTTTTGCTCCTATGGCCAAGATGACCTCAGTCCGAGTTTTGTTGTCTCTAACTGCTACTTTTGATTGGCCTCTCCACCAGTTTGATATTAAAAATGCCTTTTTGAATGGAGATCTACATGAAGAGGTCTATATGTTTTTGCCTCCAGGAGTGTATGGAAAGGAAATGCAAGGAAAGGTGTGTAAACTGCAAAAATCCATTTATGGTCTCAAACAGTCTCCTCAGGCCTGGTTTGAGAGATTCAGGACTGCTCTTGTCTCCTTTGGTTACACACAAACTGATTGTTTATGTTGATGACATTGTGATCACGGGTAATAACACCCAGGAGGTTAGTAAACTCAAAAAGTTTCTTAACTCTGAATTTGAGATCAAGGATTTAGGAGATCTCAGGTATTTCTTGGGAATTGAAGTTGCTAGATCTAAGGATGGTATCTTCATTTCTCAGTGCAAGTATGTTCTTGACCTCCTTGCAGAGACTGGTAAACTTGGTGCTAAACCGGCCTCCACCCCTATAGATCCCAATCATGGTTTTCAAAACCAAACCAGACCGGACGATCAGGCCGGAAAAACTGGGAACCGATCATGTGAATAGTTCCATCTTACCCCAGAACTGTTATTTCCCCAAAAACCGTTGATTTGGTCAGCAAACCACTAACATGGGTGTTCGAACCGTTCAATGGTTTAGCCATTTTTTATTTATTTTTTTTTGTCATAACGGATCGTCCATTCGGTTCAAATGGTCGGCCCATTCAACTTAAGAACCAAACCCCTGATCGGTTCTGATGAGGGCGGATTTGGCCCTCCAATGATATTGTGACAGGCACCTGGGAACAACTAGGTGACACCTAGAACCACTTAGGCAACAACTTGCCTTAGCCAAGTTGATGGTGTCCCACCTGGCGGCCTGGCCCTGGCGCGAGCTGAAAGCCTGGCCCTGGCACAAGCTGAAAGCCTAGCCCAGGCGCCGAACTGGCGGCCTGACACAGGCGCCGACCTGACGACCTGCGAGACGTGCTCGCCGACAAATTCGGCATGCATATCCCAACACTCCCACGAACCTTGGAAGTTGGCCCACGTACTGAACGATCCGGAGGGTGGTCAACGTGCATGGCGGTTGCCTCCGGGAATCTCGGACCACTTAGGTGACTTCTCGGAAATCTCGGATATGGTGCGTGAAGCCCACGCCAAACCATGCCTATATACAGGCACCAACCCCAATGACATGAGGGGGGCAAGTAAGCATATTCTAGCTCTCATACTTTGTGATTTTTAGCTCGCAGTCTACTATGAGAGTACTAACTTAAGCATCGGAGCGACCTCGCCGGGTTAGCCACCCCGGGTCCTTTGACATTGATTCCTCGCAGGTCTCTAAAGAACTACGAAGCTCAACAATCAATCCAGCTCGCCACCAGCCAGCTCGGCACTCTGTTCAGCTCGACACCTAATAGGCAGCTCGGCCCTCAGGTCAGCTCGTCACCTAATATGAAGCTCGCCCAGTCAGTTTGGCACCTAACCTGCCCAGCTCGGCACCTAATTTGCCCCCAGCTCGGCCTGATCAGTTTAGCATCCCAGGCCTCATTCAGCAAAAGTTCTCCACTTCGGCCTCTGAGTCATCGGCCACTTGGAAGCATACCAAATGACGAGGTACTTAGCACAAAAAAATTGATACATGACCAAAAATTGATTCATCAGGTTCGTTGTCCGGTTCAGTTTTAAAAACCTTGATCCCACTCATAAGCTTTCTACTACTGATGGTGAACTTTAGTTAGATAGGAGAGTGTTTCAGAGACTGCTTGGGAAGTTATTATATCTCTGCATGACTCGGCTAGATATTTCCTATGCAGTGAGTGTTATTAGTCAGTTTATGCATTCTCCCAGAAATACACATTTAGCTGCTGCAGAAAGAGTTTTGTGTTACTTGAAAGGTACTCCATGGAAAGGTATTCTATTTGCCAAGCATGAACACATGAAGCTAGAGGCATACACTGGTGCTGATTAGGCTGGATGTGTTGACGATAGGAGATCCACCTCAGGACATTGTGCTTTGGTGGCAAGGAACATTGTCTCATGGAGGAGTAAGAAACAGTCTGTAGTTGGCTAGTTGCTAGATATCCTCTACTGAAGCAGTGTATTAGAACTATTGTGGCTGCGATCACTTTTAGAAGAGTTGGGAGTTGACTATGAAAAGCCAATGATGTCTACTATGAGAACCAGACAGCTATCAACATTGCACATAATCCTATTCAACATGACAGAACTAAGCACATTGAGGTTGATAGACATTTTATACAAGAAAGAGTTGTTTCAAGGGAAGTTTGTCTGCCATTTATTGCTTCAGAAGTGCAGTTGCCTGATGTTTTGACCAAGGAAGTTCCAAGAGGGAAGCTGACACACTATATAAGAAAGTTGGGCATGATTGACATATATGCTTAGCTTAAGGGGGAGTGTAGAGAGACTGGGTCGAATGGGCCCTAGTATCTATTCTTTTATTTTTGTAGTGTGTTATTTATTTGTTTGTTAATGGGCCTGTTACTTCTTTTTATAAGCTTACTTTAAGTTCTTGCTTAGCTGGCCGCCCACTTAATGGCACACTTGTAATTAACTTAGTGAATGAAGATTAACAAAAGGATTACAGAGAGGAGAGAGGAGATTATCGAACTCTTCTTCTTCTTCCTTTTTTTTCTCCATCTTCTTCCTTTGTATTGTTGTCTTCTACCTTTCTTCCACTTTTCTCTCTAATTTTAATCAAGTTTATATCAGTTTTAGAGGACTGATTTACATCTAAAATGTAGGTTTGAGTCTGAAAGTGGCCACTTTATGCTAAAAATGCTGGAGGTTAGGTCCATATCCAGTCCATACTCCCCAAAACCCTAGATAGTCAGAACTAGCATTGATTTCTCAAGAATTGTGTCTTGCCAAATGTAATTAAATTTCTAATATATGTATATTTTTTTAGTATAATTTTTTTAAACATACCATTTTACATGTTTTAAGAGTGTTAATGTTATAGAGTACATCTAAAAATTCTCATAGAATACCTGGTGTTGTATCTAGTTAGTATCATGTCCAACACCAGGTGATATATTAATGCATATGTATGCATGGATATGCATAAAGGTAGTGAGAAAGGCTATCCTGTGTTTGTGTTATTCAAAAAGTGAACGAGTGTCAAGACAATAATTCAAATTGTAGCTCCTTGAGTGATAAAATTAGGGACAGAACATATTTCTTTTTTAAACCAATGACTAAATGATGGGATATAGAGTCCTAAAAATGTACATATCAGATGTAATATGTTAGTTCAGAACTTTACAATTGACAAATCTATGATAAAGGGGATCAAAACATAATGAGAGAAGACAAGTATTTAAGAAACCACAGAGTAGGACACTAAAGTTCTCAAAAACTTTAAGGATCTTTACTTCCCCCTCTCCAGACATCCAAAAAACAATAAAAAGAAGATCAACTAAGTAACTCCATGTCCAAAATTAGGAATGAAGAAAGAAAATATGAGAAACAATAAGATGAACTCTTATAATCTTTAGAAGCTAAGAGCTGTTTCAAACCAACACATCTAAGAAGTAAAGAACCATTCCAACTCTTTTGAGCATCAATGCTTCTAAACAAAATATTGTAGTTAAATCCCACTTTACTCAGATAAGTGTTAAAAATGAGCCATAGGATATGACATCACAAGAAAAGAAAAAGAATCCAGAATAAATGCAAAGTTCCCTAACCTGCATATAGATGGAGGTATGTCAGGGCATGAGCAACATCAATGCAAATTTCCAGCCGCTGATTGAAGTCCAAGATTTTTCCACGCTGACCTGCACAGTGTAACAACCAAAATAATGATTCTTAAGTGGTAATTTAGATTAAAATATTATTAAGTCCTTTGTGTATGGTGATTACCATCCAGATGCTCCCTAAGAGTACCGTTTGGAACATACTCTGTAATGATAATGTATTCATTTCCTTTATCAACATAACCAAGTAGTCTCACTAGATTCCTATGTTCAATTTTGGCTAGTAGTTCAACTTCGCTGCTGAATTCAGACCGTAGATTCTCACGTTGTTCCTGTCTAACGTCTACATGTCAACAGAAGAGTATTGTATTTGAAGGAAGGACCTCAATATAATCTTGACATATACAAAAATTATTTTGTTCATCATTAACCTCCTTTATGAAAAATAAATTCAGATGTCCTTTAAACAGTTTATTCACACTAAAGTGGTGAATATGTACCATGATTTAACATCTCTGAAAGTGCGAAGTAATGAAAGGAAGATCATGACAAAATAATTTTATAAACTATCAGACTGTTGGAAATCTAGGTTAACTAATTTGTGCAGCTCACCTTTTCTTTTCAAGTTTAACCAACTTTTAGTTTTAGACCTCCAAAAGAGGATAAGAGTGTTCCTCCTCTTTACTTAGAACACAATGACACACTACATCATTTATTAACATTAAGATTCCTTTCAGATAATTAGCTGAGGAATCAACTCCAAAATCCAATAATGTAAAATTAGAATGCCAATTTTTAGTAACTACAAGACTTACTATTTATAGTAATTCTTGTAATTACTATTTTTAGTAAACTCGTGGGTTACTTTTTAGTAATTTCATGTGTCTTTAAACTTTAAAATAAGTCTTAGTGGGATCAATAATGAGTTACTTGAGTTATTTAAGAGTTGGAATCTTTCCTTAAGTGTTTTTTTTTCTTTGAAGCCTTATTTAAGTGTTATTACAGATTACTTGTGGACTTGTGTTGATTCCAAGTTGTTTTGGATCAGTTTCCTAGTCCAAATTGGAGTCTGTAAAGGAACATCCGAGATAATAAGTTGAGTCTATAAATAGGGTCATTGTAATTGGAGTTCAAGAAGAGTTGATTTGCTGAAATAAAATTTGGTTTAGTGAACCATGGTTGTTGCCAGAAATTTCTCTTTTTCCCCCTCTCTATCTTATTTCTTCCTTCAAGAGATTAACAAGAAGAATTCTTCTCTCTTTTGATTTCTTACTCATTCTTGGGTGGACAGAAAGCTATCTACTTTCTTTTCTACCCTCATTCTTCATCATTAATCACCTACAACCCTTCATCCCACAAAGCCCACCATCAGATCTTAAATTAGTAGGGCCCCTACCCCATCCTACATCACGTCTCCTCCATATCTTTGTTGCATTCAAAAATAACAATGGCCCCATCTCTTCATTTGTTTTGTCTTCTTCGATCTTTTTATTTGACATTTAGAGTTTATAGACCCATTTTCTTTGTATCTCCCTCATGCATTAATAGAAAAAAAAAAAAACTGATCCCTAGATTTCATGAGATATAATTTTGTCTTGGTTCTAGTTTTAGTGTTTGATTCTTTCATGTTGAAATCAGTGCTAGATAAGGACAATGACTAAAATACCCCTGCTCAATAGCCGAGGTAAATAACCCTTCATTACAACACTCTCCCTCAAGTTGGGTTATAAATGTCAATCATTCCCAACTTGGTACATAACTCATTGTGACGCATGGCATTGACCCCTTCTGTAAATACATTTGCTAATTGCTCCTTAGAGCTTATATAAGGTGAACAAACTTCACCCCTCTCAAGTTTTTCTCTAATGAAGAATTTGTCTACTTCAATATGTTTAGCTTGCTCACGTAATATAGGATTAGGAGCTATTTTAATAGCAGCCTTGTTGTCACAGTAAAGAGAAACAGAATTGTCGACTGTGAATCCCAAAGCTCTCTCAAGAGATTCTTGATCCACAACACTTCAGCCACCCCATGAGCCAATGATCCATGGCTCAGTACTTAACTTCTATGCTAAACCTTGTTACCATTGTTAGCTTTTTACTTATCCAGGTTGTCAGGTTGCCTCCCAAAGGTGCAATATCCAATGGTGGACCTCCTGTCATCAATTGATGTAGCCCAATCAGCATCTAATCTCTAGGATTGGCAAACATTAGGCATGGTCATGGACAGACACAACAATCTTACTAGTCTAGAATTGCTTAACATCAAGGAGGGGCTCCCCTTCACTATCCCCCAGTCTATGGTTCTGTTTAATGGGTGTGTTGGCTAGTTTGACCCCCGCCCCCCCAACTTACCTGAATCTTGTAATAAATCTAAGATGTAGTTCCTTTGTGATAAGAAGACACCCTTGTTGGAATGAGCAACCTCTATTCCAAGGAAATAGTGTAGTCGACCTAGATCCTTCACCACAAATTAGGAAGTTAAGAACTCCTCCAAATTCTTTATTTCTGACACTTAATTACGTTTGGTTACGATATTGTCCACATAAACAATCAAAGCTGCAATTTTATCTTATATAAATCAAATAGGAGAAAATTAAGAAACTTTAAATAGGTATTTTTTTGTAAGTAAAGAAATGATTTATTAATTATTAAACCAGAGAGTATACAAAGAGGCTTCCCAAGTGGAGGCATGAAATACAGCCTCGGTTACAAAGCAAATTACAATTGAGCCCAAAACAAACTTTCCCTATGTACCCCTTGCTTAGCTAAGTAATCTGCCATCCCATTAGCTGACCTCATTTTCCAATGAATTCTTACAATCATATTAGAGGTTAACAATTTGAATATTTTCACAGCTTCCATGTAAGTCCAAATAACAGAATCTGAATCTATCAACCACCCAACTACCAGCTTGGAATCCCCTTCAATAATCAATCTGTCCACACTTAGCTGTCTTGTGAGCCTGCACCTCCTGTAATACTGCTTGAAACTCAACAAAGATAGAGTCCCCCAATCCAATCAGGCCTGAATATAAAGCAATTATATGCCCAGATGCATCCCTAAAAACACCCCTATTCCTGAAGGCATTGGGTTTCCAAGGCTGTTTCCCTTTAATAGGTATCTTTCTCTTTGTCTCCCTTTTAGTCTTTTATTCATCTTCTTTTCATTAAATATGCCATTTACTTTCCATTTTGATTTGTCTATTTTGTTACCTTTTGTTTTGATTAGATTGAAAACCTTATTTTGTAGTTATATGAATTTTTCTTCTTTTGAACTATTGTATTTTATTAAGTAAATCATATCAAAATAGTAAGCCAATTATCTAATAAGCAATTCCCCATTAGTTCCTTTAGGAAAAGTTTTTTTTAAATATGATATTTTCAAAAAATATTTAAAAGTTTTTAAATATATAGTTATTAATGAAATCTGAAATACCGCCAACATATTGGCAAAATATCACAGATATTAGGAAAATAGGTGCCAGAAAATTTTCATATTGTCACCAAGCAAAATGGGGATATTTTGGGAAATTTTCACAAAATTGTCGATATTATGAACCATGGACATAACCACCTCACAATAACTATGGAATGGAAGAAAAAGAAAAATAACTAGCACTTCACATAAACAGAGAACATAAGCAATCCACAATAATCAAACATATCCACTATAAGAAAATTCAATACCAAGCAAGTATATCCAGCCACCCACATCCCCAAATCAACGAATCAGGAAAACAATACATCCCCTTTAAGGCAATCTCAAAACCCTAGTCATCTGCTCACATCTTTTTCCCACCCTCCTTTTACCATTTTTAGAAGACTTTCAATGAGGGTTCCTTCACCATAAGAGATAAATATAGGTGCCCTCTGCAACTACCACAAGTTCGGGACCTTGGATTGTGGATGGATTTTGGATCCTCAGTCTTTTTTCATTGCCCAGATGAATAGATTAAAATCATATAACTGTAACCCTTGATCACACTGAATTTTTATGGAGGCTCTTGGGAGCTGCTCAATAAATGACATGTCTCCATATACCATGACGATATTCTTATTTTACTACTTTTCTTCCTAGTAAGCTTGCTTTCAATGCTTTTAGAAAGGTCCAGAGTTATATGGTCCTTCCTAAGAATGCTAGTCACAATAACCTAGGGTCTTGTGAGGGACAATAGGTGTGCCTTTTTTTATCAAAAAGTTAGGTGCACCTTTTTCTTATTCAAAATTATTAAGGAATTTCTAATAGGGGCCAATGGCCATTGCTTTGTGCAGTGGTGAAATCTCAGGTTAACAAGTGTGAGAACATAGTCTAAGTCTTAGAGTGGACACTTTGTGCAAAAAAGCCATAGGTTAGGTTTGTATTCAGTCTACCCCTCACAAGACCCTAGAAGGTAGCAACCAACATTGGAAATGGCCCTGACTAAGGAATTTCAATTGTAAAACTAATCACATTTATGCACAATTCTTTTGCTGAATGAAAATTCTTGCATGAACCTATTGTCCCACTTAATTGCCTTTTCTACTCTTTATTCATGTTTGCCATCTTTGTTTTCTTTAGAAAGATGGTTTCTACAATCATCCATATCCAAAGGGAGAAGGAAATTGATTACCCTTCTTGCTCGCTTGATGGCAACAACCTGGCCACCTGGCAATTGGGCTCGATAGACGGATCCAAAACCTCCTTCACCTATCTGTTGTGAACGTGAGAAATTGTTGGTAGCTTTGATAACCTGACTCATATTGAGATGTACAGATCCAACTCTACTAAATCTTGGTGATGGTGTTGAGTAGAGAGGACTAGGTGGCACTCGAAGTGGACTGGGTGGAATCTTATTAGAAGAAGAAAGTACTTCCATTGAAACTGAATGCTCTGCAGAATAAAAAATGATCTAGTTAGGCAGCAAAACTAAAAATGAGTTGAACCAAACAAGTTGAATTGTGACAAGCAGAAGCAAGATACTAAATTTTAATTGTTGGATAGGTTTCAATATACTTTGAAATGAAATCTTTTGTTTGTTTTTTTTTTTTTGAAATTTCACTGGAATTTCAACATCCCCAACCAAATAGGATGATAGATTCTATTCTTTTTAAAAAGTAAAAAGAATCTCATAACTTTCTTACAAACTATTCCTATGTTATTCAAATCTCTAAACATACTAGGTTTTAGTTGTATTTCATTTTCAAGAAAGTCAAAGCTAGAAGAAAATGTCAATATTTCAAGAAATTCATGAAACTTAGACACTAGATCCTGTGGAAACAAAAAAAGAAGTGTAACAATCACTAGTACACCAACCACTAGTTCAACAAAAACTATGCTTATGTGTTTACTAGCAATGACCCATGCAATGCACGGGCTGCTGTTTCAAAAGGCATTTTTAAGGGAAAAAATGTAGTAGCAATAATTCACCAAAGTTCAGCACTTCTTTATACATTTCTAATTCTTTGTATGAAAATACTTGAAGTTACTGCTGTTAGCAGAACTTCTGGGTAGAAGAGAAAACAGAAATCAATAGGAAGAAGAAGAGAGAAAAAGAAAAGAGAAGAAGAGGTAGAAGAAGAGAAAAGAGAAAAGAGAAAAGAGAAAAGAGAAAAGAGAAAAGAGAAAAGAGGAAGAGCAAGAGAGGAATGGGCGAAAATCACTTACTGCCGCCCAAGGCAGTATTATTTATATGTTTAACATAGCATTAGGTAAAAGGACAAAAGTGCCCTGCTACCTATAACAGTACAAGAAAGAAAGCATAAAGCCAAAAATAAGAAATAAAAGACTGAACTTATGGGACCACACATAAAGAATATCAGGTCTGGTCCACTGTATCACTACAAAAATAATAGAAAAATATTTTCTTTTCTTTCTTAATTATTGAGCTTCTAACTTATTCCTTTTTATATAGTTTATATATTATGAAAGTACATAAATTAAGTGCTTATCACGAGATCGGTAACCAAGTTATAAAAGAAAAACAATTTCAAATTTGAACTGACCAAGATAATCAAATGCTCACATTAGGTGCTTTCCTCCTACATTTTATTACATGAAGCCAGCATTAAAGACATGAGCATAAAAAACAATTGAATCAAAACAACCTATGAAACTAGTCTATTTAAATTAATAAAAAAAGAGAAAACCTGATAACCCATGGAAAAGAGCATGGTTTCCCTAGAATATTGTAGAAGAAGAAGAACGATTAACCCCATGTTGTCTAGGCCATGGGGAAAAATAAGATAAATAAATCATTTGATGCAAGTGGTTCTATAATTGAAGTAGATGTTTTTGATGCCTTTAAAAAAATAAATAAAAACAGACATTTTTGAAGAAGAATAGCTGTTTTGGTTAATTATGTGAATGCTAAACATTTTAAAACTTAAGTGATTGACATTTGGGAGAGGTGGGATTATGGTTGAGTAATATTAGGAAAATTTAATAAAACAGTGTAGGAGGTGTTTGGCTGGATGAGGGATTCAATTGGTGATTTGTGTGTGATAAAGACGAATAAAAAAAGGAACTGGAATTTAATTTCTAATATTTTCTTTACTAATAAAAATTTAGAGATATTAATTGGGAGGCTGGATGTAAAGATGGGAGCTAATTTGGGGACCCTTCCTTAATTGCCACTTCACAATTTAGCCTAAAGTTTCATGAAATGAAGAAAAGCATATGGGGAGACATGTTTGTAAGTGGAGATTTTGTGAAACTTTATGATGGGAAACAAAGAAACCTAATTTAAAACTTATAGTAAATTCTTTATTTTGTTAATATTTCACGTGTGAAGGAGAGAAGAGGAGACTCCATGTGAGGCCTATGTATATACTCTGAAGTTGAAAGCATTGGACATATAGTAGACTCATCAGGCCAGTTATGCAGAGAAAGCGAGAACTGGAAAGACCGAGAAAGCTACAAGTTAATAAGTGTAAGAGATTACTAATTTGACTTTATCTGCACATTAATTGGGTGAAGTTGATCTAAGAGAAACAATTCTAGCACCAACCAAAACCAACATGTCTTTAATGGTTCGGCAGATAAACAGCAATTTTCTGTGGGTCTACCAGCAAATCTAGAAAAACAACTCCCATTCATTCAGTATCCATATAGTCCTTGAATTGAACTAAAAAACCTGTGCAGTCCTTTCCTGCTGTGTGGAGAATCCATAAATAACGTGCAGTCTGGTCAATAACAGCATGTTGGTTACATATTGCAAAGAAAAAGAACTTCTCAAATCAATTGTTCAGCATTTCTCAGATAACATTTTTTGGGCCTCCAAAGTACAATAGAAAAGGAAGAAGGGGAAACAAGAAAAAGAAAACTTGTAACATGCATTAAAGATATGACTCACTTGAACTCGAGTCATTGGCAAGAGCAGCTTGTTCAGATTCTTTCCTTCTTGAACGGAAACAGGGACAAAGTATAATGCAACAAAGTAGGAACATTCCCGGTACCGCCATGGCCAATGTCTTTGGGGATAACCATGGTCTATGATCAGGGTTGTCATTTCTTTGATGAATCTTTTCATCAAGCTTGCGTAAAGCGTCTTCATTCATTTCCAATTCACGCCCATTTTTTCTCCCTGCCCTTTGAAGGATAGTTTCTTCACCAAATCAAATGAAACAATCCTTTTCCGGTTAATGGTTAAAGATAAAACATGAAAATGAAGTCCAAAAAACAGTTAGCCCAAAACCCAAATCAAGCAATCAAATAGCAAATCGATTAGCAGAATTCCAACGTTGTTGATGCTTGTGTCATATCTCTATAACATTATTAGACTCAAGGTTATCAAAAGATGCATACCTTTGTCCAGTTCTAAACCACAGTATTTCCTTCCAAGTCCTCGCCATTCTTCCACACCCGAGTGAAGGAAACATCCAATTGCATGGTGGAATACAAGAGAATCGCAGAAACTAACTATGTCCACCTTATTCCCATTTATATAAAAGAATTCTTGCTCTGGAGACACCGAATAGGCGAGTCGGTCACCTCTACAATCCTTTAACTCAGTCACTGAGCAATAGACAAAGCTACCCAGCAACTGTACTAACATCAACAGACTAAATCCAAGCAAAGCCATTTTCAACGAACTAAACCCCCCAAAATCCATTTTTTAGCACTTAAATATGACACGAACCATCTCTGTATTTACCGGAATTCCCGCCAAACAAAACGTGGGATATCACTGGGACGACAATGAAAGTAACTTCCCAAAATTCAACCAGAATTCTCGATACCCAATTAACCCGTGAAGGACCCTGCTGGTAGAAGCGCTTAAGTCAAAATCCACTACGAGTAAAGTCAAACTCCAGGGTTCAGATTGCGAAAATCATGCAAGCCCATACGCTCGAAAGTGGAAAGAATTCTTTTGCTACTCAGTTCACCAGATCCACAAAGCAAGCAAACCCAGAAAGCAATAAAGCTAAAAAACCTGAAAACACTAATAATTCAAGGGAAACCAGAAGATTACAAGTTCAATGAACTGATACACCCAAAATCGCAAAATACATAAAGGACCAACCTGGTTTCAGGTGTTTGACCTGTACAGAGGCAGAGCTGAACAGGCTGATCCCAATTTGAGGATGAAGCTAAACTACGAGAGAGCCATCAATGCAAAGAAAAGTAGAAAAACTTGGCTTCTTCATTTAATGAAACAACGAAGAAGGCAGAGGAAACCGGCCCGGAAGGTGGGCTTAAACCTGATGGAAACCGCTCTCTCGCCGTCGTTTCATTCTTCCATAGTTCCATAATAATAAAAAAAGGATAAAAAGGACATCTTCATAAAATTGACCCCCTCGGATTGGCTCCCCACTTCGCGCCCCACAGTACATCCCCAGATGACAAATGTTTCCAAGGCACAGTTGGGAAGCATTGTGGGGCGCGATTTGTTGGAGGCAACTTGAATTCGTAATTGACCGTTACGAGTTGAACGCCATTTTCAACGTGCAATCCCATGTAAGCTGATGCATATGATCTTATATATATGGATGCTCGATGATCTATTATTGACCGTTCATTTAATGATTTGTCATCAATAAGTTAATCAAGGCAGTCATTTAAATCAGGTCAACGGGTTGGAGTCTGTGACTTTATTGTGGGCCCGGCAGGCATAAGCAATCCGTGTTATTTACTAGCGATCAACTGTTCCACGTGTACAGCTAGCCTCAATCAATCAAGACCGAATCTGCTCCTCACATAGGGCACCTCACACGCACATCTTATCATTCATGGGAACATCTCCCGTACTTATAAGTTATTATTCATGGGAGATGTTCCCAATGCACGGTGAATGTGCATGTGAGGCGCCCAAATGTGAGGAGCAGATCCCGTTCCCAATCAACATGGCAAGTTGATTAAAAGTCTCTAGTTACCACGTCCACGAGTAATTCAGATTTGATCCTCACGTAACCTTGCTAGCCTAACACCATAACGGGATCTGCTCCTCACAAATGGGCGCCTCACAGGCACATCTACCATGCATTGGGAACATCTCCCGCGAATAATAACTAATAAATACAGGAGATGTTCCCAATGCATGATAAGATGTGCTTGTGAGGCACCAGGTGTGAGGAGCAGGCCCGGTCTCCCTAACACCATCCTCGTGGCTATGCATTGGGAGTGATGCAAAGAAAGCTGATGTTAGAGTTCGAATCTCCTGTCAATAAAATACCTTCCAACACTATCAACAACATTTGGCACAACACATCTCATAGATGGTGGGTCCTACTTTTTACGGTTGGCTCTGATTTTATAACGAGATGTGCAGAGTCAGATGTTGTTGGTAGAGTGTTGGAAGGTATTTTGTTGGCAGGTGATCCCAACACATGAGTGGGGATTTCTTACCAACAAAATACATTATAATCCTCTACTAACACAATCTCACACCACACATCTAATACATAGTGGGTTCTATGAGAGAATGATGGAATAAGTTGAGATCTCCTGCCAACAGAACACATTCCAACCCCCTACTAACACAATATGACATCACATATATAATACATAGTGGGTTCCACGAGAGATTGACAAAATGAATTGGGATCTCCTATCGACCATGTTCCAACCCCCTACCAACATGATTTGACACTGCACATTTCACCATGAGACTTGAACCTGCCATGTATTAGATGTGCAGTATCATATTGTGTTACTAGGGTGTTGGAACATATTTTGTTGATAGGTGATTCAGCTTGACATAATGGATGCACAAAATGCAACCAACGCATACCAGCCCCAACGCTAAGAAAATGTTGTACATAATAGAAAAGCCTGGGTAGGGATCTACTATCAACAAAACACTCAACACTGTACTAACATACCACTACAATTATTGAGATCTTATGCCAATGAAACACATTCCAACGGTCTACCAACTTGATCTAACACCATGCATCTCATTATGAGATTGTGACCCACCATAAAAGTGGGACTTGCCATGTATGAGATGTGCGATGTGAGTTAGAGGGTTGTAATGTGTTTTGTTGGCAGGTGATCCGGACTTGTACATTAGTAACATCTTTCACGTCATCATTCATAGGAAGATGTTCCAAATGTGCAGTACAGTGGTTAGTTGGGAATGTTGGGAGTATTGATGAATTGGTAGTAGATCTGAATTCGCACAGAACAAGAAATACGACTTATAGAATGCTCCTCACACCAATCTCACAGTCACGTCTTACTGTGTATTGAAAATATCTCCTATAATAATAATAATAATAATAATAATAATAATAATATAAGTATGGATGATATTCCTCATGTGTGGCTGGAACATTCTATGAGATTGATTTGAGGAGCCACCTATCAGGAGCAGATTTAGACTAAAAACTATTGTACCTTGGATTTCAAAACACAATGTGCCAGATCCATGGTGTTCAAAGACTTCAGATACATGATGCATTCAATTTTTCTGGAGAGCATTGCAGGTTTTTCTATTCTCTTTGATTTCCCATTCACATATTACGGATGAACATTTGAACAATTGAACCAACGGTTTAAAGTTTAACTGGATACATTTGAGCCAAGGAGATCCGGTTTTACATCAAATCCAACAAGTAACAACATTAGTTTACATATTCCAAATTTAGGGTATATGATGCACTTGTATTCAACATAAATGCATATGTATATACACTTGGATATACCAAAATCCAAATTTGATTGACCACTAGTCGAATGAAATTGAATCTTATCCATTAGATTTAAATCGAGATTGAATACCACTAATAAATAAATTAAAATAAAGTTGATAAGAATGCTGTATATTATTAATAAAATTAACTTTAATATTGTATATCATGAATAAAATGAATTGATTTGACCAAAAAAATAAAGGGTAAAATATAAAAACCTCCCCCTTGTAGTTTCACTAAAACCTGAAGTTACCTCCCTTCCATCTTTATTCCAATAGTGGAGACTACAAAGTTACAAACTTATCATTACAACTTAGTAAGACATCTTTCAATATAATTCAAAATATCATATTTGCCCCTTCTAGGCTTCACTAGATCTAACATTTTTATGGGCTAAAATTATTTTATTCTTTTCAATTTAGGCAATGAATTTCTAATTAATTAAAAGTGAAAACTTCTTTTACAAGTATTTTAATAAATTTTCATATGAATTGATAGATATAAGAGTAAATTTGATACTTTTGAAAAAGTAATGCATTTGGCTAATGTTTTTCCGTTCAAGACAATAATAAAAGGGAGGTAATAACTATAGGTGTTTTCATTACAACATGGGATGTATGTTTATCTTTTTGGCACACATGCTTGACCTTAAGTAGGGAAGTATGTTCCAACTTGTTGATATGCACTCCGAGGAACCTCCTCAGTAGGAATGGCAACAGGGTGGGGCGGGGGCGGGGACGGGGACGGAGGAGCCTCTCCCCATTCCAGTCCTCGCAAATATCCCCATCCCCATCCCCATTAACGGGGACAAGGTTATCCCCATCCCCATTCCCTGTAATTTTTTATAATGTTAATAATTTTGTTTTTGTCTTTTATTTTATTTAAAAAATAAAAATAAAATAATTAAAATTTACAATTTATTAAAAAAGATTCAAACATATTCAACCATATTTTTAAAACATTAATATATAGACGTATGTATACATATATAACGTATACATACATATATACATATATATTAGTGGGGATCCCACGGGCGGGGATCGAGATCCCCACGGGACAGGGAGTGCTCTCCTCGTCCCCCGCTAACATGGATGAAAATTTCTCCATCCCTGTCCCCGTGGGGGAAAAATCATCCCCATCCCCTCCCCTCCCTATTTGGGGGGATCCCCACAGGGATCGAGAAATATGAAAAATTATCATCTCTACACCTCAGTCCTCACCTCTTTCATTTTCCATTTTTAGAAATTTTCGTTTTCTTATATTTTGCTCATTATTGTGTGGTTGTGGTAGTATGTATATGCATTATTTATGGTTCCATCCAAGTACCGTCCTAAGCAAGTTGCCATGCATCCATAAAAAACACAAGAATTTGTTTTTTGTGACTTATATATATACATACGTAAAGCCACCTACCATCACTATTAATAGGATTAAGAAACTTTAGAATATTAGGCTATTCGAAATTGGCTTGGCATAAAGCTATGGGGCTTGAGTTCAAGTTTGAATTCAATTGAAGTTAGAAATGATAGCTTGAATTCGGCTTGGATCAAAGGCTTACATGTTCAAGGTTGATTTGTCTCGAGCTCAAATCCATCAATAAAATATAAAAATATAAATTATATATGTGTGTGAATTTTATTAAATTTATGATATTTACGAGTTAATTAGCATATAAGCCTATATATTGGACTTGAAGCTTGAATCAAGCTTTTCTCGAGCCAATATCAAAAAACTTCAGAAAAGCTCGTGTCTACCCTTACTATATGGTTGGTCATTAGTTCGGTAACAAATTAGCCTTTATATATTGGATTCAAACTCAGCTCAAAACTTGAATTGGCTCTATTTCAATCAAGTTTTTATCGAATTGAGTTCAAAACGCTCAAGAACAACTTTTTCCATTGTCATCTAATGAAAGTTGAATTAAGTAAATCTATTGTAAACCATAGAGGTGTTTTTAGCAAAATGAAAACTATACAGTATGCTTTAATAAATCTATGAAATTACATGAGTGTTTTAATAAACAAACATTATGAAAATCCACTCATCTTGCTCAATTGTTAAGGTTGTATTTGGAAATATTACAAATCCCAGTTCAGTGCACATGTGGAAATCAGATTCAGTACTCACACTGTCTTCACAGCCACTTCCAACCATGTATTGGGAATATTTTCGTACTTGTATGTTTTTATTTTGGGGGAGATATTCCCAATACACAACTGCAAGTGGCTGCAAATACTGTGTGAACACCGTTTTGTGAGAGCCGAATCCCATCTTGCATATGTGCACTCTTATTCAGTTTTTCTAGTGGTTGGCAACAATATAATTGTGTATTGATGGACAGAAAACAGAAATTTCAAAGCATGTTTACAATTTACACCCAAAATGAGAGGCAATTCTGCATAAAAAAAAAATGAAGAAAACATTTGCATAAGGATTTTAATATCGAGGGGCACGATACTCATATGCGCCTATGCATGTTTCTATTAAAAAATGTAATTAGAGCGATTTGAACCTTAATCATTTAATGCACTTAACAATTTAGCGCCTAAGCTATTAAATCACTAAGCCACTTAATTTTCATTATCAAAATAAAATAAAATAATATTTATTAATTTTATTCTCTAAATGCAATCCTAATAAACAATACATATTTATGTCTAACAACTCCAACTAAAAATTAAAAAGAATAATTTTCAAAATTAGTATTTTATAATATAATGGAATAAATAATTTATCTAACATACATTTATATCAAAAAAGATTTTTAATTTTAAAAAATTATAAAAATAAAATTATTAATAATGGAATAATAATTTTAGTAATTAGAAAATATGAATTTTCATATGATATTTATCTTAGAAATTTTAATGTATTTGATATATTTTAACTTGAGATTATATATTTTTTATAAATTATTAAATGATATTTTAATTTACATTTGAGAATTAAATATTTGGTTGACTATTTTTGTTAATCTAAAAAATAAAAAATAGTAAAATAGAAAATAATTGATATAATATTAAAATATAATAGGTGCATATGTTTTGTGTTTTGTACTTGATGCATTGTCAATAAAATTGTATGATATCTATGCATCCGATTATATAAATTATAATATATTTTTCATATACACCACTAAAATATACTTTTTCTATATATTTATACTATTTGTAGTCATTTAATTTTAAATATAATATTATTAATGTATTTATTAAATTTATATATGTTATCCTAGTGTATCCAAGCATTTTCATATTTTTATCGGTATCCATGTATTTCCAAAACACATCCTTATCCATAAAAATACTTTAATCCTTCATTCAAAGTGAACAATATATTTCAATACTGAACTCATATTTTCATTTATTATTTACTAAGAGAATTATTATCGATTCCTGTTTACATCCAACTTTGCGTTTCTATATACCAAATTACACTCTACATTTTTGCATTTGCACTAAATTTGCACCATTTCAGATCTGCTAAGCGTTGACCAGGAACATCGGTTGTACTTTACATCCCCGACTGCTCATTGATATTCTCAATGTGCGAAGCTTTTGTCTTTTCGTTCTAGGGTCTCGATCTTCTCGTTTGCATACAACCACGAGACAGCAACCCTAACACAAGCAAGAACTCCAGCCACACCTAGGTATGGACCCCCACCTCCATTGTGTTTCTTCTTCGTCTCATCGTCATCGGTTTTTCACTCTAACAAATTGAAACTTAATTGGCCAGGTCCATTGTAACAATTGAAGCTTAATCAGCCTTGCTTTGGTTCCCCTTCAATTCCCTCTTAGAGTAGGTTCTCGTCAGGGCAATCTTCGGAAGTTTCCTTCAAACAAGGTTAGTTCTTCGCTTAATCAGACCTCATGCCTCTTGATTTCATATATTGGAATTTGTTCGTTTACAGTGAAAATTTTTGCCGACAATTATGGTTCCTTAAATATAACTGTTTTTTTGCTAACTTCTTTAAACAAAACTTGAAATTCAACTTGCTAATACCAGTAAACAGATGTTTGCTAGCATCTTTAAACAGAATATGATATTCCAATTTTTACAATGAAAAATTTTGCCGACAATTAAGGTTAAGTGGATAATGATTTCATCCAGATGATAGAACAACTTTGAGATTAATTGAGGTTAGCTCTGGCATTTTATAGTGTCTAGGATTGAAATCTTGATCATAGAATGAGGTTGGTTTTGTTATGCTTAATTTTAGAAGTACAAAAGTAATTGTTAACTTTTCACTATAAAACCGAGATTTTTAACTTTTTTCCTCCTTGTTCCGATCAAAAGACCCACTGCAAGATGGTGTTGTAATACGTTTGAGAAGGTTGTTACCACCTGGTGCCGTAAAAAATCGTCTAGGTCCTCAAGGCAATTCGGAGTTTACCACCTACAAAGGAAGAAGGAAGGTCAGAGAACCCGGGGTGATATCTTGGGCTTGTAACTCCAACTATTAAATTAGTGCACCGAGCTGTCCAAAGGGGGTAGATGAGAATTCAATGAAGCATAAAGTATGAATTGAATGCTATTATGACCTTTATATAGGTTTCGGATGCACATCGAAATCATACATCTTAGACAAGTGTGGGACATTTGTCATACCTCGAGACACCTGGTATTTGGCCTTGAACACCTAGGGCCTAGTCAGGACACCTGGAGCTCGGCTCCAGGACACCTAGAGCCCTGTCAGGCTACCTGGTGTTTAGCCAGGATCACATGGAGATCAGTCAGGCCACCTGGTGTTTAGCCAAGATCACATGGAGATCAGTCAGGCCACCTGGGGCTCAACCAGGGCCACCTTTCAAGCGATCTGGCCACTTGCAGTGCTCGGGTGTAGCATGCTTGGCTGACCTGTGCGCCACATCATGAATGCATGGTGTGGGCCTGGGACCCACTGACTGGTTGTCTTACGTGTTGACTTTTCTGTTGCATGGGCTGCCAAATGGTCGCTCTCTGGACACATGGTGGAGTCATGTGCTTGCCTTTGACAACAATTCGTCTTAGTGGGAACTGCCTCCTCGGACCTCAAATCAATTGTCGTCTAAGGTCGCTCTTTCGTCGGGACTTCATGGAAGTTCAAGGCAGCTCGTTCCTCAGGTCATACATCTCTTTTGTCCTTGCAAAAAAAAAAAAGTGTTGTTAAAGAAAAGCTGAAGATCTGGAATTTGGAAAGTATGATGATTTTTTAAACTGAGAAAACATCTTGCCTAAGTGTGATTGAGGAAATAGATAGAGCTGAGGAGATAAGATACATCTCAGAAGAAGAGAGAGTGAAAAGAAGTCAAGCCTTTGACAGGAACGATGTCTTATAAAGATGAGCTTAGATAGAGACAGAGGGCAAAAGTAAACTGGTTGAAGGCAGGAGACAAGAACACCAACTTTTTTCATAGAATGGCAAATGCCCAAAACAGGGTCAACACCGTTTGTAAGTTAAAACATGAGGGTGGGATAGGGGAAACCTTATCTGAAATTAAATCAATTGCAACTACCTTTTACAAAAACTTGTACCAATATTGGTTTAAAAGGCCCCTCCCTTCTGATACCCCCTTTAAACATCTTAGTGAGGAGCAAAAACTTTTCCTAGAAAATCCTTTCACGGAGGAAAGTAAGGGAAGCAATTAGCAAGTTGGATGGTGATAAATCTCCAGGGCTGGATAGATTGACAAACCTTTTCTATGTTAAATGTTGGGACTTTATCCATTAAGATGTGTTGAATGCCTTCTAGGACTTTTATAGAAATGCTTCTTTGCAAAGTAGAATAAATACCACTTTCATCGCCTTGATTTCAAAGATCAAGGGGTTGTGAACTTAAAAAATTTTAGGCCCATAAGCCTTCTCAACAGCTTCTAAATCTTAGCGAAAGTTATTTCTAAAAGATTGAAAGGAGTGTTGAATGGTGTGAATGTGTGATCTCTAAGAATCAAAGTGGAGGAATTGGATTAAGGTCTGCACTACTTTCTCTAAGTTCTTTGTGCTAGTTAATGGGCAATCAGCTGGCTTCTTTGAGAGCACAATAGGTATTAGACAGGGAGATCCCCACCACACACACACACACACATTATTTATTTGTTTGATGGAAGTACTCTCCCAATTCAGCAAACTAGCTGGAATTGCTGCACTTTGGGAAGGTTTTGAAAATTTTCCAGGTGGTGAAAAAGTCAAGCTACTTAAGTTTGCTGATGACACTGCATTCCATTGATGCTTCTCATGATCAGTTGGAAGTGATATTGGGCATTTTGTGTTGATTTGAGGTGGCTTTCAGTCTTAAAGAGAATCTGGGAAAAAGTTTGGTTATCCCAGTGGGGTAGGTTGAGGATGTGTAGGAATTGGCTGGTGTGTTGGTTTGTCAGGTGAACCATCTCCTAGTGAAAGAATCTTGGGTTGCCTCTAGGGTGGGGGGTTAAGTGTACATCTTCATCTATTTGGGAGCCAGTAATTGGTTGTATAGAGAAGAAATTATCTTCCTAAAATGCAAAGTGTCTATCGTTTGGAGGAAGAATCACCCTAATCAAAAGCACTTTGTCTAATCTTCCCACGTACTATCTCTCCCTTTTTCCAATCCCAATGAAAGTGGCTAAGAAATTAGAAAGTTTGCAAAGAAATTTATTGTGGGGAGGCTAGGACTCTCTTGTGGAGAAAGGCGGCTTGGGGTAAGGAAAATCAAGCTGTTAAATAATGCTTTATTAGGTAAATGGATTTAGAGATTTGGGACAAAAAGAAGTTATTGGTGGAGGAATTTGTTTGCTTCCAAATATGGAACAGATAGAGGTGATTGGTTCTCATTGGATACCTTACCCTCTTGTGGCTACTCCATCTAGAAGGGGATCATGAAGACTCTTCCTGCTTTCTCTGGAGCTCTGGGCTTTAAATTGGGCATAGGAGACAATCCAAGTTTTTGGAAAGACCCTTGGTGCACTGATATTCCTCTAATTGATGTTTTCCCCCCAACTTTTTCAGTATGTTGACTTGATAACCAGGAAGCCTTTGTAGTTGACTGCTTTGAGATGGTGGGAAATAATGTAACTTGGGACCACAGTTTAGAAGAAACTTCCATGACTGGGAGTTGGAAGGGGTGTTGGGTTTGCTTTAACTTCTTAAGAATTAGGCTGTAAATGTTAACCAAGAAGATGAATGGAGGTGGAAATGGAGTGGGGATGGCTTATTCTCTGTTAAATCTCCGATGGCTAAGCTAAGTGACAATAGTGGCGAGTCTTTTCTTTTAAAACAAATATGGAACCGTATCAGTCCCTTGAAATCTAACATCTTAGTTTGGGTTTTGGTGTTGTATAAATGTTTTAGTAAAGACAATCTAGCCAGAAGAGGCATCAAGTCCCAGACCTGAACTGTGGCCTTTGTGGGCAATGTCCAGAATCTATTGATCACCTGTGTATTCATTGTGAAGTCTCTTTCAAAATCTCAATTCATTGTTAACTCTTACTTACTAGATAAATTTTGTTCATTTCTAATTAACAATTTTAAATTTAATATTAATTTGAATTTCTGTTGGCTGAGTTGAAAAATGAAAATTATTGAAAATTACTGTCAGTCGAAAATTTTCATAGCAACTATTGAAAATTACCGTAAATTTAAATACTATTAGTTGAAAGTTATTGAAAATTGTTGCTACTTGAAGATTGAAAATTTCTTTAGTGATAATTATTGGAAGTTATTGAAAAATACTACAATTAGTGATAATTAGTAAAAATTATAGATATTTCAATAAAATAGTAATTCTCATAAATTATAGAAATTTCAATAAAACAGTAATTCTCATATTAAATTATTGAAAGTTTCTATTAGTAGAAAATTATTGACATATTGAAAATTACCATAAGTTTAAATACTATTAATTGAAAATTATAGAAAATGAACAGTAATACAAGAACTTATAGAAAAATATAGAATTTTGAATACATTATAGCATTTTCAATAAAACAGTAATTGCCATAAGTTATAGAAAATTTCCAGAAATTATAAGCAGTTATTGAAATTTCTCACAAATTATCAGTGATTAGTGAAAATTCTCAAAAATTATAGGAAATTATCATAAATTATAGAAAATTACCAACAATTAATGTTAAATTACTATTAATTAACACCATTATTTAACAAGAAATTTCAGTAGACTATAGAAAATTACCAGAAATTGTAGAAAAATATATAACTTTCAATAAATTATAACATTTTAAATAAAACAGTAATTCCCATAAATTATATTAGATTTCCATAAATTATCAGCAATTATTGAAATTTCTCAGAAATCATAGGATAGGACATTCTATAAATTATAGAAATTACCAGGAATTAATGTGAAATTACGTACCAACACCCTTTCAACATAATCTGACACACCGCCCTCAGCCCGAGTTGTTCGAGTTTGGTGTAATTTGGAGTTTGGGCAAGTTCTATTAGTTGTTGGGTCATGTACTCATGTATGTGCATGACCGTGCCAACTATTCAAGCAAAATCAAAACAATAGGAACTCACTGAGAGCCGATGAGCGCAGGTAAACTCATTTGACCTCCTCTTTAACCTTGTGTCAATTGTTTTTGCTTTAGTTTGATTAAAGAGGAAAAAAGCTAAAAAAGAGCACAAGATCTTTGGTGATGGTAGTAGTAGTAGCTAAATCTTTTAGTAATTCGAAATATGGCTCAAAGATGATGTCGGCCTTTGTTCTTTAATCAGAAACATTATAAGAACTAGGGTTTTAAAAACATCTATTTTGTTCTATCTTTTGTTCTATCAGGAAAAATTCAGGGGTTTCTGAACTTTACATTGGAGTATTTCTCCACTAGCAATACAGGAATTGATCACAAATCTGAACATGTTTGTGTCATGGACTATGGAGCTAGAAGAAGAGGAAGAAGTGAAATAGTTATTCTTGCCTTCATTCATCTTTTTTCCTGAAATAATTTATTGACATGTTGGCAGGTGGTGCATTTGGCGGGAACAGGGGATTGAGACCTGTTCCCCCAGAAAAGGGCGTGTTCCCTCTGGATCACACGCACGAATGTGACTTGGTACCATTACATATTTCTTCCCGGTTTTTGTTAAAATACCAATTCGTACTCTTTTTTTTTTTTTTCTTAATTGGGATTTAGGCTCTTCGTTTTGATTTAGATTGAGTGGAATGCCTAGTGTCACAGAGGGTTGATGTTTTGGAGTTTGGTTTCATTGGGACTTAATTTACAAGTCTATTATGGTTCAGGAGAAGAAAGAATATATAAATTGTCTCAAATCTTCTGGCTATCAATCCGAAAGATGTAGAGGCTTTTCAAAGCTGTACCTGGAGTGTCGTATACAGAGGTTAGTTAGCTGCACTGTAGTTACATGATGTTTATATGCTACAAGGTGCTGAGGAAGTTACATCATGTTTATATATGAGGATCTTGTAACATCTGGTTTTATATATCCAGATTTCTCCCAACAAAACATGCAGAACATTGACATTCAGAACCATGTGGCTATGATAAGAAGAAAAAGAGTTGTAGGATATATTTCTATTGAATGGATATTACATTTCTTTAAGTGCATTTCTGACTGGGCAATATAATGAATATCCAATTTCTTGTAAACCTGGTACTAGAACAAAAGGAGTGCTTGAACTGGGTTAACAAACCTACTAATTAGGTCCTGGCATTTCCATATCTTGTATTGGGGATCTGGTATCACTTTTTTAAGGAATTGGAAGTAAACTTTTCAATGCTTTGATGGTAACCTGATTTTTTTTTGGAAATTAATTGTTGTTTCCATATGTAGGGCTGTCAATGGGTCGGGTCTGACCCAATGGGCCTGATGGGACCAAACCAATTATATTGGTTCTGGTTCCAGGATTTTTAGATCAATGGGTCGGTTCCGGTTCTCTTTTTTGGTCTTGATTATTATCAGATCAGGACCAGTTCTACCCTGTCCTGAACTGACTAATATTTTCACCAGGTTTATTATAATCAGGTCCATTGGGTCAGACCCGATGGACTGAGAACCGATCAGTTCAGTTCAGTGTCTAAAAGTACAGATCCTATAGGGTCTGGGTCGGTTCCGGTTCTCTTTTTTGGTCTTGATTATTATCAGATCAGGACCAGTTCTACCCTGTCCTGAACTGACTAATATTTTCACCAGGTTTATTATAATCAGGTCCATTGGGTCAGACCCGATGGACTGAGAACCGATCAGTTCAGTTCAGTGTCTAAAAGTACAGATCCTATAGGGTCTGGTTCGGTTCCGGGACCTTGACATTTCTTGTTGGTTCAGGACTAGTTCTACCCTATCCCGACCCATCGACAACCCTACCTATATCTTGTTGTAGTGGGATCTGGTATCACTTTTTTTAAGGAATTGAAAGTAAACTATCCGATGCTTTGATGGTAATCTGATTTGTTTTTTGGAAATTAATTTTCTCAATTTTGTAGTAGAAGCAAATGATCTTGGTGCAAGTTCAGCCTTTTTGTGAGACAACTAGTCTTGATGTGAATTAGCAGGTTAATAAATCATGTTTGTGATGTCTTGACAAGATCTTTTCAGCTTCGGTTGAGGCTGTGTTGTTGGTGTGCGATAAAAATAGTTTAGTGATTAGAAAGGAAAGTACCTAGGCCTAGAGGTTTGTCTTTTTGTGAGGTGTTTGATCAAGAAATCATGTTGTAAACTCGAGATATTTGGACGAGATCCTTTGAAGTTTGGATTGGGCCATATGGAGGTATTATAACAACAATGCCGTGTCCTGCGTTATTATTTGCTGATCCCATGCAGTGTTATCAAAGCACTAACTGGTTAACAACTAGTCAAGCATTACTCAATTGTGGGACATATCAACTGCATCAGTAACCAGTCAATACCCATAGTGTGGTCTCCTAGGACAACTAAGTATTTTTTACTAGATCTTACTAGATCAACTAATGACTAGTTTGCTTAGCTGATAAAAAAAGAATAATGTACATTTTTATTTGTTTGTATTCATCCCTAACTTTTTGAGTAGTATTATAATGTTTATATTTTTATGCACACCAATTGCTTTTAGCATCTCACTGCACGTGGTTGAGTTAGGGCATAATAATATAGAAAGAAAACCAAAAGTAGAAAAGGAACAGTCAAGTAGCTCGTTTAGGTCTTATTATGATCAATTTGCTGTTATGGAGTTGCTATTTACAAGGGAATCATATCAGGAACAAATGCTATTTCTCCCTACTGAGATTCTGATCAATTGGCTGTTAAATGCTCTATACCATATCTTTTATTGAATACTTGCAGTCTTTATTAAATTATTTATGAGATTTCATCATTAAATATGATTATCTATTTTTATATTCATGTTTAGGGTAAATTTCTTAAACTACCCTTAAGGTTTAGGAAATTGGCTAACTATACTCCTACTGTTTCAGTATTGTCTTAAAGTTCCCCTACTGTTTCTGACAATTGACTAGCTCTACCCCTACCGTTAGTATCCGTTAATGTTCCATCAAAATCCATATACATGTTACAGCATGTGACATATAATTTTTTCTAAAATCCAATATTACCCCGTCACTTTCCTCTCGAGTCTCAATGCTGCTGCGGAACACCAGCACCCCCTTCCTCCAATCCCTCTCTCTCTCTCCCCATCCACCAGCGGAACCCCCTCTGCCTCTGGTCTCTCTCTCAGTTTCAATTTTGAAGTTGTAAAGTTCTGCAACTGCAGGAAACTAACTCACCCATGTTTCGGGTTGATCTTGAATTAAGAGATGATCAAAAAAGGAGAAAATCTAGAAATTTTCATTATTTGTGTCTGGACAAACATTACTAGGAAACTGAGCATGGGAGAGTGAGCCTCATAGAGGGCTGGTGAGGCTGTCATGACCCCTGAAAAACTAGAAATAAGCTCTCTAGAATCTCTACACATAATTACATAAAGAATTCAAAAGCGATGACCAGTAAAGAGATTTGGATGAGAGAGTTCTCGCTGTTTTCTTCAAATGTCACCCATTTGGCCAAGCTCCCACGTCTCTCTCTGGAAACATTTCTCATGCTCTCCATTTCACCCACATGATCTTTGAATTCTTTCTTCACCACGCCCAGTACAATGTGACCATATCTGTCACACCATGGCCTCTTACAAAACCAAAAATTTTACAGACAGTAAGTATCTAAAAGAATCATAAAATTTGTGCAAAATATAAACTAAAATAAAACCTATCTCAAATCTCAGCTATATAAATATAACGTGTGTACAAGTGAATGCAGATCTTTTCTTTCAGTCTGCATATAGTATCTTATCGATCAGAACTTGCAGAAGCTTCATGGGTTTGAAACATGGTTGTGGACTGCACTCCAGCAAATGGTTTTCATGATAGATCTTTGGAAAAACAAGAAAAAATAACTGATTTCTGCAATTCTCTACCTTACTGATGAAGAAATCTGATGCAGAACCATCTGGGTGTATCTTTTTCTTTATCAACTTCGTGTTGGGGCCCTCCCCAATTGGGCTATCAACAAGTGGGCAAGGAGTTGAAAAGGCATGGTGTTTGTCAGATCTTTCCCCCAGAGAAAAAGGAGTCGTTTCATCTTCTGGGTTACTTCTCTTCCACTTCTTAAACCCATCAAACCCCCATTGCTTCTTTGCTGATTTTGATGCCCTCTCATCCGGATCTGTCTCCAAATCGTCCCAATTTTCGTCTCTCTGTTCTCTCTGAAACAGAGTATGAAAGAGTTTCTTCTGCACCTTCTCAGTGCTTTCTCTTTCCTTCTCAAACTTAATGGGTAAAGGTGGCTGCCATCACTGGAAATCTTCGTTCTCAGACCACCTATTCTCAGTCACAAAAAAGGAAGAAGAAGATTTCCGTTGATGGCAGCAACCCCCTCCGCCTCTAGTCTCTCTCCAGTCACACACTCTCTCTCTCTCCTCTTTCTCTCTCTCCCAACCTCTGCTCTCTCCTGTTCCACCGTCCACCAGCGGTGGTACACACTCCCGCGTCTGGTCTCTCTCTCTCCTTCTTCTTTCTCTTCTTCTTCTTACTTTCTTCTTCCTTCTTCTCTCTCTTTCCGGATCACCACTTGTTTGCTTCTCCCTGAGGCGTCTCCGGCCATGGTGATAAGGCCCCAGGGAGACCATCTGGTGAAAATAGGCTTTATCGCCTGATCCACATCCGGAGCAAAGGTTGGGGTCCAGTACGCAAGAGACTTCGCCGGAAAATTTTCAGGCAATGAGGTCCCCCTTTGCATAATGGGCAAAATAGTCTTTATAATCCTTTCATTAACCGACACTAACGGTAAGGACGATTTAGCCAATTGTCAGAAACAGTAGGAATACTTGTAAGACAATACTGAAACAATAGGGGTATAGTTAGTCAATTTCCTAAACCTTAGGGGTAGTTTAAGAAATTTGCCCTTATGTTTATATTTTTGAGCAGTGAGATTGAATTATTATTTTGTGGTTGACTAGTGAGCACCAAGGCACCAACTAGTCACCACATAGCATTGGGAGGCCATAACCACATTGACAACACTGATCCCACAAACTTATGGCTGACCTTTCTGTACAACTAAAGAATTGCTTAAATGTTTCTCTCTGGGGTTTAGTTCCATGGCTTATTTCCAGTTCTGGAACATTGCATGTCAAGTTTGTGTATCTTATAGCCCAGCCTTGTGTGCAACTGCAAAATTAGAAGTTTAGAACTATCTGAATATCTTTCTCCAAGAGAGATAGTCTTATAATCTCATTATAGTGCTGGAAAAGTCGCAAACGAATGCCTGAATATTATAGAAGATAATTTAGACTTGTACTATTTCCAATAGAAAAATTTGAAAAGCAGATTGGTCACTGAGGACTAAAATGCTGTAACTGTATTATTGAAAGAAGTGTTTGCTCAGTATTTCATATATAAAAAAACAGCAAACCTACAGTCAATTATATTGTTACACCATGTTCTTCTTATTAATAATTTTATTTTATCACAAGTTTACACTATTAAACATGTTCCTTATAGAATACAGTGAGGTGGTGAAATCTATTCAACAGTCAAAGCCTTACCAATAGTGCATGGTTATGCTATTTTATAACAAGAAGAAACATGACTAGTTCAATTTATTGAATCTTTAGTATGGTTTTTATGGTATACTAAAAGTTGGCATTGGTGTAGTTGGTGGAAATTATTTAGAAATGAGAATATTCATCTCCTCAGATTGCAAATCTATTTCTGTCAAATTGGCATTGTTGGCCGTTCCACACTCCCCACAGATCTCTGTAAAAAGACAACTCTTTTCATTGGTAAAAGAAGAATAGAACTATGTCATCAAAGTTTTGGGGAACAGAGAAAGGACCTGAATAACAGTTCTAATTCATACTCAACTTCTCAATAAAATGGTCTCTTAAAAGAAAACTCTCTTACATAATGTTGATTCTGTTGAGCTTCTAGGAACTTAATGGCAAAGCAAGACTTGTCAGAGTTTGGATTTGGCAAGGAATATGGCATGGGAGCTTCTTAGCAGAGAAATAATAAGGCTGATTTGGGAGATAAGACCATTGCTAGTTGAAGGCAAACAACTTTTTGGTTAGAAGCTGGAACAATTGGATTCTGTAATTTTCCTTTTATCCAGATTCCTGTTCTTTGTCTCCAGGAAAGAAAAAAAAACACTCAAGCATACATAACCACAATGAAGCAGTGTAAGGTTTGTTTATAAAGATAAATTAGAATGAATGAAGGTAAATGTTGAAAGCTAACATGTAGTGAAAATTTATAGTCTTTTAATAAATCGAGCAAGTTAGATGGTAATGGAAGTTGCCTGCATTTAAAAGGAAAGAGAAAAAAAAGATGGGAAAACTATTTATTGCATGTTACATCTCATCCCATCCATTCAGGTGAAAATTGTAAATCTGTGTTTCTATATTTTCATCCTTGGTTTATAGCAGGAATGATCATCTCCTTGGATAGTTTGCTAGCAGCACTGCAGCAATATTCTTGGTGTTTGCAGTGCAGATGGGAATCATGAAACTTAAAATGATTTTCTGAATGACATCTAGTCTTGTTTTCACTTGTCTCTCCCCTAATCTCAAGATGCCTCTCCTGACATGGCAAATCCCCCCCCACMCACCCACACACAAATTTGTGAAAATTGCCATCAAGCCAATTTTATAGGAATTGTATCCAATTAGGGAATGACCATCTAGCAAATCTTCCTCTCCTGAAAAGTTGAGTATACGGTTCCGAGTAGATTCTAAGAGTCTGCTTATATATTGGAAGCCATAAGGATAAATAAGAGCTTGTATTACTTTTTTTCTGATAAAGCAAAGAAATTTTATTGATAAAAGCAGCCAGTTGTCTGAAACACAGGTGGCAAGATTTCAGTCCAGACACTTATGCATTCCAAGCTCCGGGCAAATGCAGATTCTTTGCAGTAATGGACTATTACTATTAGGTTCTATGTAGTGACAAATTGAACTCTTTAAAAAAGGCAAATAGTTATCTGTATTCTGCAATCTATGCTACGCCCACCGGCATCAGTGTGCTATATATATATATATTGTACCATACTGGACCATGATCAAATTGGACAAAAGTTTTCTTTGCCATGCATCCCATATAAAGTCTTGAGAATTTGTTTTTATGGCTGTATGCATTGGTTGTTGGTAAGGTGTCTGGCTGGTTGTGGTGGAGACTTGGGATCGAATCCTGCCTTAACCAGGGATTAGGGTTTTCGGGACTTGGGTGGTTAGACTTAGATATAATTGTTTCATTAATTTGGGGTACTGGCTACATATATGGTTGGTCATTGGTTGGGTTTAGGCGATGTTGGACCCAATTCTAGCCCAAACTTTTGACCTTATTGACAGCTTCCAGCCCATGCTTTTGAATTTGGCAGGCCAACTTTCCACTCATTTTGCTAAAGTGTTAAACGAGGTGGATTAGAGAAGGAGATGTTGCAACTGTTTCTTGGTATTGTAATTGATTCAAACAATAGTGAATGCAATAATTTGTCTAAATTTAAACACATAACATATATTAAATTTGGTCTCTATTAAGGTTGGGCTGGGTTTAGGGGTGGATTTGAGTTGAGCCGAATAGTACAAGGCTCGAGCTCGACTCGAGTCAAAAACTCGTAAGTTCGAGCTCGGCTCGGCTTGAGCTTGATTTGAGAAAAATGTTTTATAAAATAAAAAGTTATATATAAAAAATATTTTTTATTTGATGTTTAAAAATTAAGAATTATAATATTTTTATTATATATATATATATATATATATATTTGAGCTCGGTTTCAACCAAGTTGAACCGAGCTCGAGTAGCTCGTGAAGAGTTCAGCTCGTGGCCACCCCTAGTTGGGTTGGACCTAGCCTAAATATTGACTAAATTGGGTTAAGAGATTGCATATGTCTATTTGATGGTTTTTTTTTTGAGAGAGAGAGTTTTAAAAATGATATTGTTAGAGAGACTAATTATGGATTTTAGTATGGACAATTAAAGCGTAAGAGACAATTGATTTTGACTTATTGTTTTTTTAATAATTTAATTTAAAAATAAATGGCCACATTGTGCAAAAAATGAGGGGAGATGGTCTGTGTAAGCTTTGTAAAAAAGGACCCCTCGCCTCCCCTCTTTCCTCTTTCTAATATAGATATAGATAGGTCCATAGCATTGATTGTTGATAACTGATTAGATTTCTCAATCAAGTCTTGTATATGATCTCAATTAATCCATTTGTCCATTTTATGGGTTAAGTGTTCTACTTGCATTTTGGTTAGCTTCTGTGGAATGTTGCGAAATTGATAGATATACAAACCAATGTGTGCAGAGTTCTAAAGCCCACTACTACCCCTAAATTGTCAACTAGTGAGCCCACCATGCATTGAAAATATCACCCCATGAATGACAATATACAAATACGAGAGATGTTTCCTATGTGTGGCTGAGATGAGGTGTGAGGCTGATGCGAGGAGTACTCTGTGAACAGACCCAGACACTCTACTTCTCTTATATTTTCTACACCATTTATCACCTTTATAAGGTCTTTCATTTCATCTTTATTAATTTGCCTTATTAACATCTCCATGACAGAAGTAGAACGAACACAAGCCACGATACCTTATTCACGCCCAACAATGAAAGGATAGCTTTAAAATTCCAATTTTTAATTCGACATCCCATCTAATTATCTCAAATTTAGATGTTAGAACTTCTATCCAATTAATAATTGGATCAAATGCAAATTTAACCCCAACCGATCTGATTCCACCTACCAGCCCCTGTTCAAAATCTTCCAACCATAACTTCATTTCAGTGTAGTTACTTTCACTTCTACATGGTTGTAAGCAGACTTCACTGAAAAGACACCTTTTATATCACGCATCCAGAATCATCTATCTTCTATCATATCTGTTTGTCTTAGCACACTTCATTTGTTTCTTCCAAGAAACCCAATTTTGTATACCTAAGAGAAGCTTGGAATATATGCTTGAAAGTTAACCTGTGAAGGGCCCACCACTAGAAGCATCTTTAGCAACTTTATTTTTTAAATGGAACCATAGATGACCTTGGCCAAGTCTCATTGGTTACTCCTAAGCATGTCCACATTGAAAGCAACCCTAAATCATTCTAATCAAAAAGTCTAGAACAATATAAGCAATTTACATATGTACCATAAAATGCATGTACAAGCCTTCATAGTGATGAATTTAGGGGTGCAACTTGGGTTGGCCCAAGTTAACATTTTACACTACTTCGGACTTAAGCTTTGGGTTGGGTCCATTCAAATTCTGATAAAATTCCAACCCTAACCCTTCCAAGTTGCATCCCTAGTCATGACTATTCATTGTGGTGATTCTGCAGCCTGTCCCAACTCAACCGCATTCTTTTTTTCTTTTTACTTGCATCTCCCTTCAAATTATTTTCTTGAATGAGAAGATTAAGGGGGTGTTTTTCAATGTGAATTGTTTTTCTTGTTGTGAGTTTCTAAAACAAATTAAAACCATCTGGTTTAAAAATAAATTGTTTTAAAACAAAAACATGGAAAATATTTTCTTTGTCATAAATGTGTTTCTGTTACTAAAGCTGAAACAAAAAAATGTCTTCTTGAATTTTTAGTTTGAAAAACATGTTCTTGTTTTAAATCATGCAATATATCTTGTCATCTTTCATAAATCATAAAATATCTCCATTCCAATATTTATTTTTGTTTTAAGAAACATCATTTTGATAGTGTTTCAAAAACATAATTCATTTTTCGAAACAAATTAACTTGTTTTTGATTCTCAAAGCAATAACACAGTTCAAGAACATATCTTCTCGTCTTTTGCTGGTGTGGCAATTTAAAAAACATTGACTTTGTAGAGCACACCCTAAATAAATAAATCTGGGTTATTTAAGGCAGGTATTAATTTGGAATTTAATTTATCTGAAGTGACAAATTTCAGCCACAATAATACAAAACGGTCCTCCTCCGTTCTTCGTTGTTTTACTTCCCACAATGACAATATTTATAGCTTGAAGTAAATAATTCGAGAGGCTGATCAGTTAGATAGTAAGATTGCTACATTCTTCAAATAAATAAAATCTGAGTCAAATCTAAGACAAAAAGCCTGCTGTTCATGGTCGGACTCAGGTTGGACTTTTGCCAAAATTTAATGGATGTGGCCAAACCCCAAACCCAAAGCAATGTAAAATGTTCATGGTCCAAGCCCAAAGCCTGACCCCATTAAAAAGAAAAAAAAAGCCAATTGTTGTATATGCATATCACTGGAGTGATGGAGCCCAAGCCCGATCCGAAACCTTGAAGACTGAAGCTGCGTTTTAGACAGCCTTTTTAAGCAAATCGGATTTCCTGCCCACTACTCTCTACTCACATTCTACCCACCCTGAATTGCAGACATACATCTCACAACTCAAGATGGCAATGTGTGGATGCAATTCAGGGCGGGTAGAGTGTGGGTAGCAAAAGTGAGTAGGATATCTGGGTTGCTTCTTAACATAGCAGTTAGAAAGAGTGGAAGGTTGGCCTTAGCATAGCCACTGAGGTTTTTAGGGCCCGTTTGGGAGGATTTAGCTGAAGATAAGCTTTAGTTCAGCTAAGCTGGTTCATCTCCATAAATAAGTTATGTTTATTGACAACTGGTTCAGCTACGTGATAAAGTCGGATAATCTTGATTAGACCTGTTCATGGGCCGGGCCGGCTGTGTATTAATAAACTTTTTTAAGGCCCGAGCTCGAGCCTGGCCCGACCATCGGGCCTACAACTTGGGCCCGAGCCCGGCCCTCATAAAAGCCCGAAGCCCGAGCCTGGGCTCAGGCCCGAAATTTAGCCTATACTATTATTATTATTAATGTTGAAGCAGCTGAATAGAGAGAGAGAGATTGAAATTATAAAGAAAAGAATAAAATATATATATATATATATTAAATTATAAATATATAAATATTATATTATTTATATATTTTATATGATATATAAAATACATATTATATATTTTATAAAATATATAATACTGAGTCGGGCCGGGCTTTTTTGACAAATCCCGAGCCTGACCCGAAACACAGTCGGGCTTACTGTGTTAAGCCCGAGGTCAGGCCCGCGGGCCTAATTATATGACCAAGCCCGACCGGGGTGCGGGCCGGGCTGTCGGGCTACCCGGCCCATGAACAGGTCTAATCTTGATAAGGCACTCTTGATAAACTATTCTTAAAGGCTGAAGTGAATAACTCTTCAACTGACTCATCAATAATTTGTTCCTCTAGATTTTTTCACTAAGCATAAACGGGCACTTGGAGGATGTTTGGAACCGTGGCCGTTTTCAAAAAAAAAAAAAAAAAAAAAACGGTGTCACGCCGGATTCACATAGGCGTTTCAACAAATGCCCATGTATATCATTGGCGTTTCATGCATTGGTGGGGTCCTGATTTTCGAAGCATGCCCGATTTTTTAATAATCGGCTGAACCGTTTCCCCCAACGGTTGACTGATGTGTATCCTACGTGGTTCTTATCTGTCAACACATACATGAAAAACGGTGATAAAAATCACCTTACCAAACAGTATAGTGTCGTTCACTACCTACGTAGCAGAAACGCTTTTTTGTAAAAAACGGGTCTTAGAACCATGAGCATTTTTTCTTAAAAATCGGTCCAAAAAAACGAACACACTTCCAAACACCATGTAGTTTGTTCTTGATTAAGTGCCCCAGAGGGATGATGCGGCTCTTGGCTTTCTAAGATGGGCCTTGCACAAATAGTTTAAAATTATGTTTGGTGAAAAAACCCCAAAGAAACCAAATTGGTTTTCAGTCAGTCATTTGATAGCTTACTGCCTACCCGGGGCATTTTAAGGGTCCCTTTGGAAGAGCTTCTGCATTGATTATGCCACAAAAAGTTACGAAGTTACTGAGATAGCTTCACCAGAAGATTGATTTTGCAGTTCGTATAATGCTAAAAGCCACTGCGTGAAGTGAAGGTCTTCCAAACCGAAATGGGTTTTAAGACTGCATTCGACATTCCTTATTTTAAGGATTTTTCTCCTTTTTACAGTTAAAATGCTCATATATATATATATATATATCACTGAGCTTTTAACAACAAAAAAGAGATAAATCTTTAAAATAAGGAATGTAATCAGCCCTCGCAAACGGGCCACTTCAGTCTTACGGTATAGAAGGTACATATACACAAGGGTAATTTTGTCATATCGAATTGATCAGATCAGGTGATTACTGGGGTTGTTTTATATAATTAAATTAAAGAAATATAAAGCGAAAAAAAAAGGAAGAGAAAGTAAAAAGTAGAAAGTGCAATCCCGTTTGTTCGAATACGGACGCATTTCCCGATTCCTCTTCGTTCGTCTTCGTCGCAAAGTTTTTCTCTCTTTGTTTATTTTTTCCTGACAAACCATTGTTCCAGCGTCTTTGCCAGTCTCTCTCTCTCTCTCTCTCTGTCCTGTGTTATTGTGTCCTTCATAGTTCATGCAACCAAGCCAAAACTGTAATAAAGAAAAGCTAACGAGTTCTCTAGTGTCTTTTAATGGCGGGAAACGACTGGATCAACAGTTACCTTGAAGCAATTCTGGATGTCGGTCCTGGTATAGACGAGGCAAAATCGTCGTCGTTGCTGTTGAGGGAGAGAGGGAGATTCAGTCCCACTCGCTACTTCGTTGAAGAAGTGATCACTGGGTTTGATGAGACCGATCTCCATCGCTCATGGGTTCGGGTATGATAACAAGCTCAGCCTTTTAGTTGTATTATTTTTGTTTTTTAATCTCTCTCTCTCAGAAGGATGGAAGTTGTTTCGATGGACGCTCTGTTTTCTTTTATTTTATGCAGGCAGCGGCAACGAGGGGTCCGAAGGAAAGGAATACGAGATTGGAGAACATGTGCTGGAGGATATGGAACTTGGCCAGGAAGAAGAAGCAGGTTTCATTTTTCATTGTTAAATTATGCTCTCTTTTAATGCTTACGGAGTTGTTTGGTTTAGATACTTAGATGTGAAGTTTTGTTGAAAGAAGTGGTCGATGGACTGTTTTTAATATAGATCGGATACGATGAATTGACAGAGTTGGAAGTTACACTAAGTGTGTCTCTCTATATTTGGTCATGTTCTTATAGTTTGCCTGCACAAACTTATTGATCATGAATTGGATGGTCTTTGATTTGGATTTTTTCACCTTTTTCTTGGCAATTATTGTTGCTTGGTTCCTTTTAATTTAATCTAGATGAACTTGATTAAATACACTGATATCAATCGGCTGATGGTAAGATTACCTGAAAATCTATTTGTTCATTAAGTTGGCTGATGATTGATCTGATCTGGAGATGTGAAAAAGGGCTTTAATTAGTGATTTTTTGGGCATGTTGTGCAGGCAATGGTCGAGATATTTTTGATGTATCATGTATTAGTTTTTTTTTTTTTTTGAAAGGTAAATGAGATTATATTAAAGAGGGAAATATTTCCTCGAAGCAAAAATATTTACATATTGTAAACTCACTATATGAGATGTATAATCTATACAAAAAGAATTATACTATAAAATAATTGCAGCCAAAAAAAAAGAAAGAATTATACTATAAAATCATTATCCTACAAAACGTTATACTTCAGAGAATGTTTTGTTGTTGTGCACCCAAAAAATGAGAAGCTTTTCTATCTTAGAAATCAGAGCACCATTCTCCAATTTCTTCCCTTCAAATATTCTGCAATTTCATTCAGTTCATAGAGACCAACAGATTGCTTCAGGAGATAAACACCATAAGATCTTCCCTTTATTACTCAAACTGTTCAATGACCAAGAGCTGAAGAGTGAAATTAAGTCCTTTGGAAACAACCGATTACATCAAAACAGCCTTAGGAAGTGAATCCAAATGCTATAAAACTCATTGCAATGAATTAATAAGTAATGCACTGATTCCTCCATTACTCCTCACAAGCAATAGCAGTTGTTCAACACCATACCTTTGGAAATTAAATGATCTATAGTGAGGATCCTGTCCAGAATGGCTGACCACAGGAAAAATGATATTTTAGATGGGATTCCTATTCTCTATATCCATTTCTAATCTACGCTATCATCCTTGCCCTGCCAAGACCCTATAAAAGGACCGACACCGGTTCCTCCATTACCCGGTCATGAATACTATGCCTGATTTTAGGTTCCCAGACAAACTGACCTATTATTACTTTAATTATATTGATAAATAATATAACTAATACAATTTTAGTTGATATTATATTGATGAACACTCATCTTTTTGTGGATATAATTGTAAGTTCTCATATGTCAAAGGAAGAAATTTATTTTAACCAACAGATAAACAATTAATACAATTGCATCATGGCTAAGATTCAGTTGTTCAGACTTCGGCTCCAGTGTATTAATGCAAAAAATGATGATTCTCAAAATGTCTATCTCTATAACAAAGTTGAGTGATAGAATGAAGTGTTATGAACATGGATATGGATTTTGAATGAATCAACAAGGCTTTGCTGAATTATTGTATTTCCTAGTGTTTTAGGTATTTTGCAACCGTTGCCCTTTATTCTAAAATGGAAGTGAAATACTTTCCTACATGATAAACCATGAACAATGTCGAATGTGTGATGTTCTCAAAAACTCTAAGTCCCAGGTGGTTCACATTCAAGAATCGAAGCTTGATTTTCTGGATGCGACCATTATTCGGAGTATCAGGGGAGCCGGACAGGTTAAATGGCTTGCCAAGCCTTCAGTAGGGAGTGTGTGTGTGTGGGGTGGGGGGGGGGTGACCACGTGGGATCCAATGAAGTGTTCCTTAATTGCCCACTCAATTGGCAGCTTTTCAATAACGGTGATCTTGGAGCTGGCAGGAGGAGGTGTATGCCAAGTCAAGAATGTTTATGGTCCTACTAACTCTGGCCAAAGAAATGAATTTTGGGATGAGTTAGCTAGGATCAGAGGGTTGTCTCTTCATCCCTGGGTGATCGGAGGTGATTTTGTCAGTTGAAGAAAAAAACTCTGGTGGGAGAAGATTAAGAGCAATGGGTCTCTTTGCTGACTTTATTAACAAATTTGATCCAATGGGCTTGCCGCTTCAAGGGGCTAAATTTACCTGGACAAATAACCAAGACTCCCCAACTTTGGTAAGGTTGGATAGATTCTTGGTTTCTTCGGACAGGGATGAGTTTTTCCCTTCTTTCAAACAGCTGGCTCTACCTAGGCCTGTATCTGATCGTTGTCCTATCCAACTTAGTTGTGGCCACCATGGAAGAAGCAAAACACCTTTTAAGTGTGAGAATGCTTGGTTTGAGGAAGAGAGCTTTATCTCTATGCTGGCTAAGGTGTGGGGGGAATGTCATGTTAATGGTTCCAACAGTAGAAGTTCAGGACTGTTATCAGTCATGAACCCTAATGGATTTTAGGATCGAAAATAAGAACAAAGGTAAGAGGACAGAAGAGGAAGAGGGAGGAGAAGCAGTAGAACACAAGAGTTGAAAGGAGGAGCAAAAGCTTAATGTTCTGCCGCCGCCACTTTAAT